CATGTTAGAGTCAAACTGACTGTATCACTGTCTGGGGAAAAGTCATCAATGAACACTTGCATTTTTTTTTTTTTTAAGATAACAGATGGACAAGCTTCCTGCAAGGCTGCTTATGCATTAAGTTAAAAATCAGCAAAGTCTCAGTTCTCTGCTGTACAGGTGTTGGTTACTCCTGTAGCTCCCACATTAGGTATCAGATTTGTAGTCAGAAGGAAAGCATTCTCCTTGAAATAGCCAACAAAAAACTGGATTTGTAAATTAATAAAGAGAAGACACTAAATGTATCTTTTATAGTATGAAATTTATTGTCAAATTGGTTTCTATACAACACCCAGTGCTCATCCGAACAGCTGCCCTCCTCAATGCCCATCACCCACTTTCCCCTCCCTCCTACCCCCCATCAACCCTCAGTATATTCTCAGTTTTTAAGAGTCTCTTATGGTTTGCCTCCCTCCCTTTTTTTTTTTTCCCCTTCCCCTCTCCCATGGTCTTCTGTTAAGTTTCTCAGGATCCACATAAGAATGAAAACATATGGTATCTTTCTCTGTGTGACTTATTTCACTTAGCATAACACTGTCCAGTTCCATCCACGTTGCTACAAAGGGCCATATTTCATTCTTTCTCATTGCCATGTAGTACTCCATTGTGTATATAAACCACAATGTCTTTATCCATTCATCAGTTGATGGACATTTAGGCTCTTTCCATAATTTGGCTATTGGTGAAAGTGCTGCTATAAACATTGGGGTACAAGTGCCTCTATGCATCAGAACTCCTGTATCCCTTGGGTAAATACCTAAGAGTGCTATTACTAGGTCCTAGGGTAGATCTATTTTTTAATTTTTTGAGCAACCTCCACACTGTTTCCAGAGTGGCTGCACCAGTTTGCATTCCTACTAACAGTGCAAGAAGGTTCCCGTTTCTCCACATCCTCTCCAGCATCTATAGTCTCCTGCTTTTTTCATTTTAGCCACTCTGACCGGCATGAGGTGGTATCTGAGTGTGGTTTTGATTTGTATTTCCCTGATGAGGAGTGACGATAATCATCTTTCAGCCACCTGGATGTCTTCTTTAGAGAAGTGTCTTATTCATGTCTTCTGCCCATTTCTTTACTGGATTATTTGTTTTTTGGGTGTGCAGTTTGGTGAGCTCTTTATAGATTTTGGATACTAGCCCTTTGTCCAATATGTCACTTGCAAATATCTTTTCCTGTTCCGTTGGTTGCCTTTTAGTTTTGTTGATTGTTTCCTTTGCTGTGCAGAAGCTTTTTATCTTCATGAGGTCCCAATAGTTCATTTCTGCTTTTAGTTCCCTTGCCTTTGGAGATGTGTCAAGTAAGAATTTGCTGCGGCTGAGATCAGAGAGGTTTTTTCCTGCTTTCTCCTCTACAGTTTGGATGGTTTCCTGTCTCACATCCAGGTCCTTTATCCATTTTGAGTTTATTTTTGTGAATGGTTTAAGAAAGTGGTCTAGTTTCATTCTTCTGCATGTTGCTCTCCAGTTCTCCCAGCACCATTTGTTAAACAGACTGTCTTCTTCCCATTGGATATTCTTTCCTGCTTTGTCAAAGACTAGTTGGCCATACTTCTGTGGGTCAATTCTGGAGTCTCTATTCTATTCCATTGGTCTATGTGTTCTGTTTTTGTGCCATAAATGTATCTTCTCAATTCAGAGCTTGATTCTGGAAGAAAATGTGGCATGTACCAGTCTAAGAATGCCACCTATTCGATAATGAAATATTCAAAAGCTATTCGATACCTATTATGAAAGAATATGGAGCAAAAAATATTTCTGCAATATAGTTCTAACAGTGTGTTACAAACCACAGAGCCTTGACACTCTTATTCTTGATAAACTCAGAGGTAAAGGAGAATAGCAAACTAAAGGAAGTCATGCATGTTTCCTAGTTTCCATGCAGACTAGAAACAGGAGACAGACCCAATCACTTAGCACTGACGGGGAAGGCTGGATAAAATCTGTCACTCAGAGCCAACAGGCATGCTATTTACCATGCTCAGGAAAGACAGGGACCATAATTATTTTGCCTTCTTCAAAGAACCTTAACTTGAAGCCAGGATTGGTAACAGAAGTCACAAAAGTTAACATAGTACAGCACGTGCTTCTATACACTGGGCCAAGTTATTTGGCCATTGTAGACATGATCCTGGTACCTGTTTTTTTTACTAATGTGTATATATTTATTTTTAAGAAAGAGAAAGCATGTGTGCATGCATCTGAGAAGGGGACGGGCAGCTGAAGAGACACAGAATCCCAAGCAGGCTCTATACCGTCAGCACAAAGCCCGAGGTGGGGCTCAATCCCACAATAGAACCGTGAGATCATGACCTGGGCCAAATTCAAGAGTCAGACGGTTAACTGACTGAACCAGCCAGGCACTCCCTGGCACCATTCTTAAACTACAACATTAACACTTAAAAAAATAATTGACCTTTTATACACACACACACACACACACACACACACCCATATACGCAAGGGAAAAAAGTGAAAGGAAAAAAAAAAACACCTAAGTGCTAACACTGGTTTAATATTTGGGTAATAAGATTATATAGGACTTTTTTATTCATAGCTTTCATTATTTTATACAACGAACATATTTTACTTTTATCACCAGAGGAAAATCACTACCTTTTTAAAAATAGCTGGCTGGAAGACACATATCCCTGACCATTGCTGACAAAGATTTCACAGTAGGCCATCCAATGTCTCTTCTACTTTCTACAGGGTGAAAGGTGAGCAGCCTGGATTTGGAGGCCACTTGCCCTACCATGTAAGAAATGTCAGAAAGAACTTTGCAGAAAACTCTCCAACACAGGAAGGCGGGTGAGCACAATGGAAGACATTACACACTCGTAGATCTGACTTGTTCGTCCCTGTTTTTATCAGACAGTATTTTGGTGACTCCCAAAGGTATTCTGAAAAATCTTTGCTTTTTGGATAAAGGTGACATAGAGCCACTCAACTGAATTTAACAGTGTTTGGTAGCACAGAACACGGGAGTATGACCTAACCAAAGAAACCCAGGGACCAAAGCCCAAGAAGTGTGCAAAAGGCCCCTGCAGATTTTCTAGCCAGCTCTCTCTCCACATCACTATCACAGTGATGAGGAATGTTCATTTCTCCACTCGGAAAGCAGGCACAGCACTACCCCAGAGGCTGTGGTGAATACAGAAAAAAACCAGGGCTCTCCTCACAGCATGCACAGGCTGATGGGGAAAGACAGGACACAGATATCAGAAATATGTAAGTAACAGAAGACAAAATTAAATGGCTAAATGAATGGTACAAATAAGTATTTAAGGCATTTAAAGGAGCACAGCTCAGCTTCAACAGCTAGGAAAGGCTACCTCCTAAGGCAGAAGGAGGGAGACGAAGGAGGGAGACAAAGGTGGTCCAGGCGCGGTCACCAAAAGAAGCAAAGTCATTGGGATGGAAAAGGTAATGTGAGTGTGAGTGGACAAAAATCAGGTTGGAGAACAAGAGAAGTAAGGATGGACGGAGAGACTAAGGCTGATTATAAAACCTCTTTAGGGCTCCCTTACCTCTAATCCATGTGATATATACCATTATCAGATAAAGAACATTTGTGGGAAATCCCATGTACCAGATACTACGCTAAATATGACAGATACAGTATCTCATTATAATCATCCAAAGTGAGCGTCATTATTCTCATTTTACAGATAGAAACTGATATTAGTTGAACAGAGAAGTTAACCAATTTGCCCAAGGTCACCTAGGTAAACAGACCTGGGATTTGAACTCAGGCCTACCTGACTCCAAAGTCCATGCTCCTTTTTACTACTAGCTCTGTGTTACTTCTTCCTAAAACATAACTACGACAACCTCAAGCTCAATCTGTATCTTTCTCCCATCATGCTGTACATGCCTAGCCTTCTGACTACCCAGTTTCCTCATGGGGAGTCCCTACGCATCAAAGCCTGCTGTCGGGAGAGTATGCGCAGCTAAAACAAAAGTGACCAACAACAGTTTACCCCATCCCGGGCTATCTTCAATGCTACAGAAATCAGAGACTCAAGTTATAAAGAAAGCTCTAAAATCAACCACTCAGTGGAATAAAGATCTCACCTTCTGAGAGGGCCAGGCCATTGTATCTTACAACGGCAGCCTCCACAGCTTATGGCTACAAGGCCCGCGGTAAGAATCTCATTGCTCGGCCCTGAAGGTCTCTGTCTGGGAGTTGAAAGGCCACAGGAGCACTTCACAATACCACAAGCCCCCATCATTTCACATAATAAGTACATGGGAAAACCTAAACAAAACGTATTTGTCATCTACCATTCAATGTTTCTTTAAAAGACAGATTGCCAAAAAAAAAAAAAAAAAAAAAAAGCATTTTCTAGCAATTCTATAAAATATTCTTCTACTGTCTCTGGGAACCAGGAGCATTACTGCTCTCACCTTTTCTACCATGAACGATTTTACAAGTATCAATGACGCAAGTGTCCTCTTTCAAAGGAGCTGAAATAAAACCACATAGGATATTGGAGTATGTGACGATGAGTGGGGAAAAGGGCACAATCCTGACAGGGAACGCTCCACGTGCTCACCATGAACACAGCCTGCACTCACGACTAGCCATTTGCTAAAACCAGAATGCACTAGCAGTTAGGTCAAAGATCTACTGAGAATTTGAAAGCTCCCCACCGAATATTTTAATAGGCCAGGGAATGATGAGAGTTTCAGAACACGTTTCAACACGATGATTCGAATTCAACACAAGAAACTTTCCAGACTGGCTTAGAAAATACACTGCACTACGTGTTTCACATAGAAAGCAAAAGGAAATTTTAAAATAAAAGTGCTATTATTCTTTCTCTACAAACCCGTTACATCTCTTACCCTGAAGGAATCACTTTCTAAGACATTCCCATTTCATCAATGCTCTAACATGTATGCCAACAGATTTTAGGGGCAGAACTTTGTTCAAAGTAGTAACGGGAGAATGTTGCCCTTACGTATCTGGATGGCTCCTCCAGGTTCTGGTCATTCATGTCAGTGGGAACAATCCGGGTGGCCAGTGGTCCCTCCGCAAAAGGTTTTGGTAACTGGCCCCTGAACTCTGATGGAATGAACTGAAGCTGCCAACTGTCAGAAACACAAATAAGAGAGAGTTAAGGAAAACACAGGGGGCCCATATTGCCAAATGTACTTGAAATAAACAAGCCCCCCCCAAAATTCATGTGAAAAACATTTCACTTGGAAAAAATATATTTCTGCTAAAACCTCGATCCACCAGGGAGCAGAGAGGCAGAGGTCGTAACTCAGTACAACATCGTTGAGAAACTTTCATCGAGAAGTCTCTCGATCAATGTCAACAACTCTTGGCAGTAAAATTTGCAACCAAACGGTCATACCACCAAACATCGGAGAACCATGCCAGTCTGTCTCCAATTACCACATGATCAGAGGCATTTACCAAAATTAAAGCAAATTCATCAAACAGGAAAAGAGTAAGATGTAAGAACACACCACGGGAGACGTACTTTGTTCCTGAGCAACTGTCAAAAATATCTTTAGTTAGGAAACTATTTCAAATATAAAAGGCAAAGGCTAAAGTTAATACTTAAAACCATTTTCCTTGAATCATTAGTGACGGATACTAGATCCGCACTACACACAAAATACCTCCACCGGCTAAGCCGCATCAGGACTCATCTTAACCTGACTTCCCTTTTCCGTAAATAGAACTTTCTCTGTCCACATGAAGCCAACACAAGGAACTCCACAGTCTATGCTATCATCATCCAACAACAGCATAAAGGTACAGATATCTTAACCACAGCTCTCCCCACTGTCCGTATTTTGGTAAAGAACTTACACCGTTATTGGATGACCAACATTTCTTCTTCAAAACTATCCTTTTAGCCTGAGTTTCTGGACCACTTTTGGAAGTCGATTAATATCAGATGATAGAAATTTAAATATGAATCCTGAGAAAGAGCCACTAGCAGGAGTCTAGGTCCCAGAGTGTTTTTAGAAGTTCCCAAATGTCTATAGTCACAGGTAGTGCAGGGTGCACAGCCGGACACAGTGCTCACTCTACTGGACACAGGAAATGGTCGCACAGTGCAGACCTCACAGCTCGGAAGTGGCCCGTTGTTCAAAAACTTTTTGTGAAAACCCCAAAATGAAAGTAAACTTAGGGAGACTTTGCCACAGAATTGCTATTTTTACTCCTGGATTTAAAACCTTGAGGATTTAGAAACAACTTACTTATCAGGCAGAAGGAAGCTACTGGGAAATCGATACCACTCCTTCCCTACACAGACATTCACAGGCCTGCCTTCTGGGACAGTATGGATGGTTGGGTCCGTGGCAATTCGGTAAAATTCTGGATACAAATCAAGGGGCCCGTGATACCCTGGAAGGGAGAAAGGTTTGTGAAAGCTGAAGACATGTAAGATGAGAGTCTAACATTTAATCATGATGCATGTTAATGTCCCACTGTAATCCATGTGTAATTTAAGAGTGTGAAGGCCCCCAACAATGGCAGCAAGAAGCCGGCTCCCTTGACACACAGCGTCTCTACAGTTACGAAGATGATCACAGCAGAGACCCTGTTTTACCAAATATAATTTGCCTTCTTGCCCTTCTGTACACCCTTCCGCCTTTCTCGCTTCTGTTCTTTGAGCACATTTTAATCTTGTGGACCCAAATAATGACTATAGGAAGAGTATTATCATGGGAATTGAGCCCCAAACTTGCTTCCTATGTTGAAGGCTTCTTTAATTCATTCCTCAAAATGAAAAAGCATCCTCTAAAAAATAAAATTAAAAAACACAAGAATAGAAAAAAAGCTTTTATAGTTAATCACTGTGAAAGGAATTGTCAATCTTCTCTTTGATCTTAGATAAGTCACAGCCCAATCACAAATGAAGCCCATAGGCTCTCTTTATAGGAAAGTCCTCCTCCCAGCTAACGCTGAAGTGTAATAATCACACACAGAGCAAAACCCAAGGTGAAGTGCCTTGCGAGCATGGGCACTGTGTGCCTCTACCTTTGAACAGTGCCACAGAGCGGGAAAAGGACAGGAGGCCGAACAGGAAGAGCGTTCCTGACGCCAGCCAGTTCGACGTCACAGTGTAATGCTCCAGACGGTATCGCTGAAACACGAAGTGGTAACATTTCTAGAAGGAAAGAAAACTGTATTGAAAAAAAAAAAAAAAAAGAACTTGCATAATATACAGAACACTATCATAAAACATCCTAACACCAAGATGGGAAGAAGCAGCCAAAGAGGTCCCATCAAGGGTCTGAGCATTTGCCAACAGTGAGTGCCCACTCCAAATTCAATGATGAAAGCAAGCTCTGTTTAAATTATCTACGGGTCAGCCCAACCAGAGGAATTCTCACCAGCTTCACAGGAAAAGTATATAGACATCTCTCTAGTGCTTAGAAAGTCCTAATAATTTTTTTTAATATTTAAATGAAAGTGCTGGTGTGCCTGGCTGGCTCAGTTGGTACAGCATGAAACTTATGATCCCAGAGTCATGAGGGCAGGTCCACATTGGGCGTGGAGCCGGCTTAAAAAACATTTTTTTGGGGGCGCCTGGGTGGCGCAGTCGGTTAAGCGTCAGACTTCAGCCAGGTCACGATCTCGCGGTCCGTGAGTTCGAGCCCCGCGTCAGGCTCTGGGCTGATGGCTCAGAGCCTCGAGCCTGTTTCCGATTCTGTGTCTCCCTCTCTCTCTGCCCCTCCCCCGTTCATGCTCTGTCTCTCTCTGTCCCAAAAAAAATAAATAAACGTTGAAAAAAAAATTTAAAAAAACATTTTTTTTTTAAATGTTGATTTATTTTTGAGACAGAGACAAAGAGAGAGAGAGAGCGCGTGAGCAGGGATAAGCAAAGAGAGAGGGAGACACAGAATACGAAGCAGGCTCCAGGCTCCGAGCTGTCAGCCCAGAGCCCAACACGGGGCTCGAACTCACAAACTGTGAGATCATGACCTGAGCTGAAGTCGGACACTCAACCGACGGAGCCACCCAGGCACCCCAAAAGCCATTTTTTTTAATAAATAAGAACAAAAGTGCTTTTTAGCAGTTTGCTTTGATATATGCAGTATCTCTATTTTGATGTAACAAGTATTAATCTTTACTTTCCTCCACTGACAAGCTTTCATCAAAGTTGTTGGTATCAAGAAAATGTCTCATGACCAAACAAAAGAATTCCTCTCATAGAATATCAGGAAAATGCTGTTAATTATCTTAACTATTTTACAAACTAGATGAATATTATTACAATATATACATGTATGCATGAGTTCTACAGTCTGTGAGTACCTTCCCATTAGATTTATTGCTTTCTTTCCCTCCTAGACTAGAACTACTTTTGGGAAGCAATTTTATAATCTATTACAAATATTGTCATCTATAGCTATTGCCATCAATAAATATATTGCCAACAAATCTATTGCCATCAGTGGGTCTGAACCCCTTTCATATTTTAAAGAATCTGTCCTAAGGAAACAATCCATATACCTCAAGAAAGATATTCATCCTAACATTATTTATAATCCTGAAATAAATAAGCAACTTAAACCTACCATAAATTATATATCTAATCATAGATATAAGTTCAGTAGTTTACATATACCATAATGTTATGTATTATGCCAAATTGAGAACATACTCCTATTCAAATAATGGGTATAGATTTGGCAACACTGAAAATGATATGTAGTTGTATTAAAAGACATATTAAGTTAGATGTCAGATTATAACCATCATCAAGTCTGGTACATGATAGGCAAATATGCTGGAAGATGGTTTTGTTATGATAGTAGGGCTAACTTAGACAGTGATTTTAAACAATTAAAACTTTATTATCTGCAATAAAGTGCAATTACATTTATAACTAAAATTCTTTCTTAAAACTATAAACCTAACATGGATGAGCCTTAAAAACATGATGCCGATGGGACGCCCAGGTAGCTCAGTTGGTTAAGTGTCCGACTTCGGCTCAAGGCACAATCTTGCCATTCCCAAGTTGGAGACCTGTACTGGGCTCTGTGCTGGCAGCTCAGAGTTTGAAGCCTGCTTCAGATTCTGTGTCTTCCTCTCTCCTATGCCCCTCCCCCACTTGTGCTCTCTACATGTCTCAAAAAATAAACATTTTTTTAAAAATTAAAAAAAAAAAAAATTGGGGCACCTGGGTGGCGCAGTCGGTTAAGCGTCCGACTTCAGCCAGGTCATGATCTCGCGGTCCGTGGGTTCGAGCCCCACGTCAGGCTCTGGGCTGATGGCTCAGAGCCTGGAGCCTGTTTCCGATTCTGTGTCTCCCTCTCTCTCTGCCCCTCCCCCGTTCATGCTCTGTCTCTCTCTGTCCCAAAAATAAATAAATGTTGAAAAAAAAAATTTAATAAAAAAAAAAATTAAAAAAAAAAAAAAACATGAGGCTAACTGAAAGCAGCCAGTCACGAGGACCATGTATTTTAGGACTCCATGGGCAAATCTTCAGAGACATAAAGTAGACTAGTGGTTGCTTATAGCTGGGAGATATGACAGCTAAGGGGTACAGAGCTTTTGAGATGATAAAAATGCTCTAAAATTGACTGTGGTGATAGTTACACAAACCTGTGACTGTACTAAAAACCATTTAAAAATTTTTTTTTTAAACGTTTATTTATTTTTGGGACAGAGAGAGACAGAGCATGAACGGGGGAGGCGCAGAGAGAGAGGGAGACACAGAATCGGAAACAGGCTCCAGGCTCTGAGCCATCAGCCCAGAGCCTGACGCGGGGCTCGAACTCACGGACCGCGAGATCGTGACCTGGCCGAAGTCGGACGCTTAACCGACTGTGCCACCCAGGTGCCCCAAAAACCATTTAATTCTATGCTTTTTAAATGGGTAAATCATATGGTTTGTGAATTATAGCACTATAGAAGTGTTAAGGAAAAAAAATGCTTCCCTAATTACTCTTTTCTGCCAATTGCAAATGGCAGCAGAGGTCAAAAAGAAGCCTGGAGGGGCACCTGGGAGGCTCAGTCAGTTAAGCATCTGACTCTGGATTTCGGTTCAGGTCATGATCTCACGGTTCAGTTCGTGGGCTCAAGCCCCGCATCAGGCTCCGCACTAACAGTGGGATCCTCTGTCTCCCTCTCTCTCTGCCCCTCCCTCAGTCATGAAATGAATGAACTTAAAAAAATAAAGAGAAAGAGAGCCTGGAGGCTTCTGAGACCACAAATACAGATACATCCAAGATAAATTCTGAAAAAGAATTGACCTGGACAGGTTTTAAGCCAGGATTACAAAGTGTCCCATATTGCTAACTGCCTGATGTTATCCCAACACTTGAGAAAGTTTTAATCTGATCTCATAGCTAAGGAGCAGACGTTCCATTATTTCTGCCATGGCGCCACCATCTTGTGGTAGGCCTATACAACGATCTAACCAAATTCCTTTAATAGCAAGTGGATTCTGGTTGGCAGTAGAAAGAAATTAACACACCAGTTAACAATGCAAATATGTAATCAGCGTAAGAGTATGATCAACAGCCAAGCGAGCAATACATAAACAATGGTAGTTACTTTAATATGTTTATCAGGTTTATTGTATGGATAAAGTATCTTGGGGGAAGCATACTGTAATTTGCCTTTAAGCTTTATGACCAATTTAACAAGTGAAACAGAATGAAGCAAATGTACATTTCCCTGAAACTCACCTGAAGTGCAGAAAGGGCCACAGCACCACAGAGACATATAAGTGGATACACAGGGAAAAGAAATCTCTCCTCTTTGTGAGGCTGGATGAAGAAAATTATAAACCAAATATACATTGGAGCCAAGGTAAGCCAATACGGGTGGCCTAAATTCTGAACTGTAAGACAGAGAAAAACATCCACCTTTCACCATGTTAGAATAAAACAACATATTTAGTTTCAGTGTTCTCTTGATCTCAGATGGGAATACACCCTATGTGTATGGCACCCCATAAAATGTTTCAGCTTTTATATTCACACTTTCTCTGATGCAATAAAGGGGTCAAGTAGAAAAAGGTATATACTCCTGAGCTCCCCCAAGAAAGCCAGCCTCTAATGTGAGTCACAATACTGGACTTGGCTGGAACACAAATCAAAGTCAAGGGACTGGGTAATAAATCTTAATATATTGGATAAAGAAGAAAAGCCTTCTCTCCTCAGTGAGTCCTGCCACTAAGGTAAAGGTTCCTGAGATTAACCAAAAGCATAACATAAACTCATTTCTTGGGTTTTAATTCCTATGCTCTATTTAATAGATTAATCTCCTTTCTTATATACCAGTCTGTTGAAATAGATTTAGACCAAAGGAAAGAAAAAGTTGGATTCTCAAACCCATCGTTTTTTGTCAAGCTATAAATGGCAAAAGAGTCTGTCTCAAAGCAAATATAAAAGCAACTCTTAAAGGAAGTTTAATGATGATGTTTGTTCTCCTCTCTCACAACACCATCCACTCTGAATCTTAAAACTGAAACTAACATATACTCAAGGCATGTGAAAGAATTAAAGCCATTTAATGAGCTCTAAGACTCAAGCACCTGCTGGAAAGTTCCTGTGGTTAGGCACATGAACACTGACCGATAAACCTGCAACCCACGGTGAAGGCATCCCCTACTGTGTTTCTATGAGTGATGATCAGCAGTGCTAGAAATCACTGGCAAAGGGTAGATCGACAGCGTCCCCTGGTGTTATGTCTACAAAGAGCAAGTTTGGAGGAAAAGCTCAGGATTGTCATCAAGATCCACTTTGGTGTTTCTAACTTATCAGTATTTTTGTAGAAACTCTTTAGGGATGAAAATTCTTCAAATGAAATACCAGGCTTATCCTTTAAACTTTCTACTCTAAGATCTTACCTTAAGATTTTAGGTGATAATCTATGATTTACATCTTTCCAAGAAGTATTTTAGGTTGGAATTTTCTTGATTACAAAAAAATGAAATCCTTTTCTGTATCTTCAAGGCTAGCAAATATATTTGTAAAATATGGCCTACTGGGGCACCTGGGTGGCTCTGTCAGTTAAGCATCCGACTTCGGCCCAGATCATGATCTCACAGGTCCTGAATTCGAGCCCCACAATGGGCTCTGTGTCGACAGCTCAGAGGCTGGAACTTGCTTTGGATTCTATCTCCCTCTCTCTCTGCCCCTCCTCCACTCATACTCCATCTCACTCACTCTGAAAACTACACAAACATGTAAAAAACTTAAATAAAATATGGCCTAACCTGTTTGAATGTCCTCTGTAAAATTACAAAATCATAACCACAGTTGTATCACATGATGAGAAAATAGGTAACTTTCCTGCTTCTTTATGTTTTTCTGGTTTTTTTCTCTTTAAAAGAACATTTTTCTATTATAAAATACACAGAAAGTAGAAAGAAAAAACAGCACTCTTTTTTTTTTTTACTAGGTGGACATGTGTGCAAATTACACATTTTTAAAACAAAATTGGATTCGTACTGTAGAGAACAGCTTAATATGCTGTTTTTATACTTACATCACAAGCATGTCCAAATTCTCTACAAGCATAAATTATCTTTACAGTAAAGAAAAAAAAGTTACTTTTCAAAAAAAAAAAAAAGAGAGAAATAAAATGATCCTTAGGACATGCAAGGAATGCAGGACTAAGTTAACACCCCAGGTGACAGACAGCTGGATCCAAATGTGGGACATTATGCAAGATGGGTGACCTGATTTCTTTAGAAATCTTCAGGAGGAAAAACAAGAGGGGGGGAACCTCGTAAAAAGCTGAAGAAACTTAACATCAAAGTCAGTATATGACCCTTTTTTAGAACCTCTTTTAAACAACTATAAAAAGCTGTTTTTCAGACAGTGTAGGAAACCGGAGTATCAACTGGGTATTAGATATTAAGGAATTGCTGATTTTATTAGGATAATGGCATTATGGTTATGCTAAAACAAAACAAGTGACTGGAGGCTGCTTTCGTATTCAAATAGTGTAACACAGTGAACTCTACAAACCATTAATAGCAGAAAAGCAGAATGGGGGGCGGGATGGAGAGATCATATGGCATCCAAATCAGACTGAAATGTCTGAAATTAAATCTCTTTCCAAAGCTCATATGAATTTCTGCTCAAATCTGTCTTCCATAAACGAAACATGGGCACCAGATATCCAAATCTGTGACAACTTGAGAAAACACTGGCTGTGCACTACGGAATCAGAGCAAGCAAAATAAATGACAAACCAAACCTTCCACAATAAGGCAAACACAGAAGCAAAACGGAACAAAGAGAAGCATAATGTTTCTCAGGAAGTCCAAAGCTTCTCTCACTTCAGTATCAAATTTGAGGGAAATCCCTGTATGGTTTAGTTTTCAAATTTTTGGTTAAAGTAATTTCCCAAGGAGTATTTACCTCTATGACTTATTATCTTCAACAATTATCCATATTACTACACATTTCTTTAAAAGACCCAAGACTCAAATACTTTCATCTCCTGAGATTTTATGACTGTTCTTGCCTCCCCGTGCGGTTCCGTATGCTATCCTGACTTCCTCACTCGAAGGGATATAAAATTCCTCCCTTTGTCAACCTAACTTGCAATTATTAACTGAACCTTCACATAAATTTAAATAATCTACCAACACAGAATGATAATTTGATAAGCCAACCATTGCCATGGGAAGAAAACGGAGAAGAGAGTAAGTAGATTCATTTTCACTTCTTGGTAAACATTGTTACTTGCTCTTTCCTCCCCAGAAACCTTCCATCCCTTACTCCACTCACCATGAAACCTCTGCAGTAGGTACTCCATCAAAGAAGTCAGTGGTAGGACCAGAAGAGCCAAAGCAAAGGCTACGTTAAAATTAAGAAATCCGTTAATTAAATAGAAATACCAGGGTTCTGTACCTGGGGGAAACAAATAAAAAATAATTAGTGGATGCCTTCCATATCTTTTACAATGCTGGATTCAGAATGTTCTTTGTTCAAGCAATGTTGATGGTCCGATGCCTCAAGTGAAGGAGTCCACAATGGGAACTCAGTTACCAGGGCTCAGTCACACAGGGGAAGCACAAGAGCAGATGAGGGGAAGAGAATGGGATCTGTTACTTTTCCAGAACAAGCAAATAATTTAAATAGCTTAGTGGTGACAATGTGATTTATAGTAAGTAATTTACATTTGGTCTTCATCTCTGTTCCTGGCACAGAGCTCCTAAAACCTTTGGAATTTCCTAAGTGGTGAGAGCGATAAGGGTGTCTTCTGGGTCTTCTGTTAATTAGGAGATTTGGGGAAAGCCCTCAGGTGGGGGCGAAGGATGGGGACGGATGGCCAGAACCAACTGTGTGACCTAACTGCCCTGATGGGGCGGTTACAATTTTCAGTCCCACCCTGCTGACCTCCAGGGAGGGAAGAGGGGCTGGCAAGAGTTCAGTCACACCCACGGCCAAGGATTTCAGCAATCATGCCTGTGTAACGAACCCTCCATAAAAACCCAGAAGGACAGGGTCCAGAGAACTTCAGGTTGATGAACACATAGAAGCGTGAGGAGTGTGTACACCTGGGAAGGATGGGAGTTCTGAGCTCCATCCCACACTCCCTGCCCTATGCATCTCTTCCACCTGGCTATTCCTCTGTATCCTTTATAATACCCTGCCCACTAAGCTGGTAAACTTAAGTAAATGTTTCTTTAAGCTCTGTGAGCCACTCTAGCAAATTAAGCGAACCCAAAGAGGGGGTTGCTGGAACTTCCCATCTACAGCTGGTCGGAAGGGACAATCTGGACCGGTTACTGATGTCTGGGGTGTGGCTGTGGCAGAGCCAAGTGGGAACCGTCTTGTAGGACCGAGCTACTCAGGCCTTTCCCCTTTTATTCTCACCCGTTCATTCCATTTACATCCCAGTCTCTTGGCCCTTGATATGTTTAACCACTATTCTACTGTCATGGGACCCTGTGTTTGGTAAAAAGCAACAATTTGTTTTCCTTAGAAAAATAATGTTCAGAGCCCCAGATCCTGTTTAGAAGTTTTGAGGACTCAGAACGAAACAAAATGAAAACACAAGCCTTACCCACACCAGTTTCGATTCTTTAACTCAAAATCCTTGAACCCAAATGCGGGACCGGCCCCCCATGCACATTTAGCAGGCTCTTTATCTGCTCTTCCCCTCTGTGTGATTACTTCCATCAGGCAGTGAATGACACATGCGGGTTTTAATCACTGCATGTTGTGACACCCGCCTTGCACCACAGCAATTTCCTGCAATCAGCACTGCTTAAAAGGGTAATCAGAAGGCAGAGGAACAGTCAGAAAAACCTGACATTTTTGCAGCTTGCACAGCAAAATAAGATTAGAAACCAAACCCATAATGCTAGAAACATTTAGGGGAAGGGAGGGTGGGGTACCCTAAGTAAAACTCCACTTCAACTGTATGTCACCTTTTGCAAAGGCTCACTCCTTCCTGTCTAAACACATTGATTGCGATGTTCATGAACAGAGCTCCTGTCCCAGGCCAAGTTCAATAGAGACATTCATATTCTTTACCAATACCCGTTTGGGGTTATAGAAAAGTGATGATTTTCGGGGTGCCTGGGTGACTCAGTCGGTTGGGCGTCTGACTTCAGCTCAGGTCATGATCTCGCGGTCTGTGAGTTCAAGCCCTATGTCAGGCTCTGTGCTGACAGCTCAGAGCCTGGAGCCTGCTTCTGATTCTGTGTCTCCCTCTCTCTCTGACCTTCCCCCAATTCATGCTCTGTCTCTCTCTGTCTCAAAAAATGAATAAACGTTAAAAAAAAGGTTTTTTTAATAAAAAAAATAAAAAAAGTGATGATTTTCAAAAAGAAATATCCATCTTCTCTGGATTTTAGTATGTAATAACTCATTTCTGAAACTGAGTCTCTTAGGAGTCCAGTTCCCAGAAAGGTAGTTTTTTGCATCATCTTCTCCTGACCACCAGTGTGGAAGCAGGGCTGTCAACCTTGGCCCTCCTTTTTTCCAACCAAATTCTGGAAATCTGAGCCTGAGAAGAAAAACCAGAGTGACTAGGGAGAAAGGAGATCATCTTTTATATCATCTTTTATAGATCCTAATAAGCATCTATAGAAAGAAAAAAAAAAAAAAAGCCTTTCTTTGCTCCTTACAAATACTTGTTTTTTTCAGGAAAGCACTTTATTCCCAGCAAATATTGGTCTCTACCACAACTGACTATACCCTCCCGCTTGGGCTGACTACCTTTTTACCTAGGTGTACTATACTCTGAAATTCTGAACCCAAAGCATCAATCTGGTAAACTCAACTATGTTTATGTGTTAGGAACTCATAGATCAAGTTCAGAGCTAGGCTGTGAACATTTCATAATAGACTATCGCTTCCTGGAAGAACAAGGCAAAAATTGGAGGATAAGCCAAAGGCAGGGAAGGTTCAAGTCACAACAGTCTTAAAAAACAAGGGCAGAAAGAGACAAAAACAGGGAATTCTCTTACCCAGTGTCCTCCCCTACACGATCAGACACCTGCCTTGAAAAAAGAGTAAAAACTTTCCTCTCTTTCCAGGGAGGTAATTTGATGCCACTTCTCAGAAACTATCAAAGCTCAACTATGCAGAAAAAAAAAAAAAAGTGTCAGAATGACAAGCTACGCATTTAACTGGTGCAAAGTGTGCAGTGAAAGCTGGAAGCAGGGTCTCTGTAGGGAATGACGCACCAATTCCTTTCATTTAAATGAGCTAAAGGGAACCTTCAAAGAGGCCAGAAGAAGAAGGGATAATGTTTACTGTTCCACCGATTGAATGAAAGAAAGCTATTTTATAGGCGTATAATTTTATAAAACCTTAAGAACTAAATTGTAGTAAATTATCCTTATAAATGTCAAATTTACAACACCCAGAGCAAAGAGACACCAAGGTCCAACAAAAATGATCAGCAAAACAATGAAAGCCCTAGAACAGATCTTGACACCAGTCAGCTCTTGAGTGACTCCACTGGGGCCTCATCCTCTGCTCCTGCACAAATGGAAAACTTTGGGCCTTTAATAAAGGCCATTCGCCTTTGCCTTCTGAAATTTCCTGTCCAGTGATGTGACAGATGTTGATAGAACACATCAACAGGCAGGGATCACGTCCTAAATTGCAAAGTGGCATCGTTGAGCCGACCCACTGTTGTTTTTGAAGGAAGAGCATTTCTCATACCCACCCTCCCATGCCTTCTCCAGGCCTCAACTCCTCAGAGAGCACCAGTCTTCACTCTCCACATAAAAATACTTATCAACCCCGACATCTGCCAACGCCAAATGTTACAAGGGTAAGAAGCAAAATCAGTGCCATGACCAGTCACTTTGTTTTTTGCAACACTAAATTTCACCTCTTGATCTTTGACACCAAAGAGATGCTTTGCCTATGACTTTGCAATTTTATGTCTACACTAAATTTCCTAAATGCCAAGTATTTTTTTCCTTGTCCAAATATTCTTTTTCTTTAACAAGCATGGAGCAATGCTCCCCTGTGAAAGAGAGCCTGCCAGCGTGCATACCACTGTGCCATCGAAGCTCTCTGAGGCTTCCTGATCACCCTCCAAGCCCAGTGTGTGGGCCTTCAGAGGCATAACTTCCTGCCCCTTCTTTAGATCAAATCTTATCTTCCTCTATCTCCAACTCACACTCTGTTTTTGCTTATTCTCTTGTAGAGTCTCAAACGCCAAACTCCAGAGTTTTGCTAAGGCGGTTTTCAGTGGAAAAAACACAGGCTTGGGAATCAGACAGCCCTGGGCTCTTATCCCATTTCTGCCACCTATTAATTATGTGCAAGTCCCTTGGTTTTATGTGCATTTCCACCTTGGTTTCCATAGCTGGGAATAAGCATAAATAATGCCTCTCTCACAACGTTTTTGTGAGGAGAAGATGATGTTATATAAAATCTCTCGTATAGAACAGGCATTTGATAAACAGAAGCAATTATAATTTGTAGTTGTGAAAAAGTACTCTTTTTCTTTCTCCTGGCTTCAAAAGAGCCAGCTCAGGTCTGGAATATGTCATTCCTAGATGCTCTCTGGCCAAGCAAGTATAGAAAGGTCCCTGTGAAAACCAGGAATAATGGAGTAAATATTTATATTATAATCACAACAGAGAAACTGAATTTATGTTGCTCATGTTTGTACAGTTTCTATCTAAAATTAGCTAATGCTGTAAAAAAAAAATTCACAATATTCAATTTTTTTATTTTTTTTTTTTTTATTTTTTTTTTTTTTTTTTTTGTGTCTCTGCAGTCCCTACCCTGAACATTGTGTTTGTCTGAAATATACCCCCTCTAAAATCTACTCACCAAACATCTACTCTTCCTTCCAGGCTTGACTCAAGAAGTCCTTCTGCTACCACCAGATGGACTTGCTCCTGTGATTCCCCATCTTTCCACTATAGGACGTAACACAATTGACTATAATTATCTGCTCGTGTGACTGTAGCCGTATGGGACAGCAAGTTATGAGGACACAAATGCTCAAAGGCAGCTTAGTCCATGTTTCTTTAACTCAAGTCCATTTAACTAATTGTTTAAGTATTATAGGCTTATTTGCTCTTACATCCAAAAAACAGCACTAAGACATGAATGTAGAAACTATCAGCATGATGCATTTGTAACTTTCAGAGAAGAAACCTATGCCTACAATAGGTAATGAAGCACTTGGAGCAGTCAAGTCTAACAAAATAGTCAAAATGATGCCCAATAGGGTCCAACATGTATGTAGAGTGAAACAGCTGAAGCTTCCATGACAAAACATATGCTATCTTACTCTCTGATAACTGTACAGCATCTATTAAAAAGTCAATCTTTGATGGGGCGCCTGGGTGGCTCAGTCAGTTAAGCATCCAGCTTCTGCTAGGGTCACGATCTCACGGTTCATGTGTTCAGGCCCCACATTGGGCTCTGTGCTAACAGCTCAGAGCTTGAAGCCTGCTCGGATTCTCTGTCTCCCTTGCTCTCTGCCCCTCCCCTGCTTGCTTGCATGTGCGCTCTCTAAAATAACCATTAAAAAAATTATTTTAATACCACTATGTAATAACCTATTTAGAAAGTGAACCAAGGGCACCTGGGTGGCTCAGTTGATGGAGTGTCTGACTCTTGATTTTGGCTCAGGTTATGATCCCAGGTTTCTGGGATTGAACCCTGAGATGGGCTCCATGCTGAGCACGGAGTCTGCTTAAGATTCTCTCTCTTTTCCCCCTCTGCCCACCCCTCTCCCCCACTCATGTAGGTGCTCTCTAAAAATAAAAAATAATTTTTAAAAAGTGAAGACAGTCTCCCAAAATTAAACTCAAATTAACAATTTATTCACCTATACATAACGGCTATTTTGCTTCCATAGATTCCATGTAAATCAGTTTCTAACATGCAATCTGGGTCTAAAAGGACAGTCTTTCTTCTATGGTCTTACACAATCAAATAAAATGTTACAAGTAACCTAAAACAAGGGGGAATTAAAAACATACAAACTCTCTCCAGCTAAAGGGAGACATCTAGAGGCGAAAGCTTAAAATTGGGGCTTTTCTCACATTTTGGGGATCTTGAAGTCTTAAAAGAGCCTTTTTAAATTCATTCACTTAGGGAACGCCTGGCTGGCTCAGAGGAGTGTGTGACTCTGGATACCGAGGTTGTGCATTCTGCACCCCACGTTGGGTGCAGAGATTACCTAAATAAACTTTTAAAAACATTAAAATTCCTACACTTAACAATTATTCTCTAACAAGGCAGTGTGGAAATTCAAGTCACTAGACAAAACACGGTTTATTATGACCTATTACCTACTGCCATCTAAATGACAATATTCCACAAATCCTGACAGGTCCAATTAAATCTTATTTGTATGCTTACTTCAAATCATCAAATCTGTTGGTCCTGTGGACAAAGTGGCACAGGAAAGTGACGGGCATGGCTTAAACTGGTAAGACACAGGGGTAGTATTAACTTGTTTCACAGCAGAGCCCCAGGACAATTACATATTAAAAAATTCTTCAAGACCTTCAGAAAATTAAGGCAGAAGAAACTACACTTATTTTAATGAAAAATGGTCTCAAAAGAGGTTTACTGATTTGGCTGATCTGACCAGGAAGATCTCTAGGACAATCCTCCATAGCTGTCACCAACACAAATGCCCTCGGGGGCCAAATAAAACCGGCTCAGTGCTGGCTGAAAGAAGGCATTGGGGTGGGGGGAGGGGAGGGAGATGGAGGTAAAATGCAGAATATATTCCCCTGATTAAAGGCATCAGCCCTTTAAAGCTGGCCAAACTACCCACCTTTTTCTCATGCTGACTCCACCATTTGCTCTGCTATTTCTATACATTTTCCAAACTTTCTCTCCTAATCCCTGATACTTAATGCAAATTTTAAAAAGAAAAATTAATACCAAATGTGTGTATGTCCACAAGACATCTGGAGGAAGAGACTCCAAAATATTAACAACAGCTATCTGGAGATGACAGGATTATGAATGTTTTTATTTTCCTATTTTTGTTATCATACGGATTTTCTAATGGAAAGACTAAAAAGTAACTTTTCATTTTAAAAAGTAGCATCAAGAACCACGACACACCGAGAACAACAGACAGGACTAACAGAAGTCACATGAATCAAGAAGAAACATTTACTGGTTACTTAATCATCGCTGTGCTATAGCTGAATGTCATTTCTTTTTTAAAAAGAATACCAGCAAAGAAATGCTGTATTTGCCAAAGAATATTTGATGAAATAAAGAAACCACGTTGAAATGTCAAAGTTCAGGCAAATGAAGCCATCTCCTGCCCTTCCCCAGAGTCCCTAAGGCCTTACCATAAAGATCAGGTCCATGAGGAGTAAAGACATTGTACAAAACAATGTTCAGTGGTGCCACCACCAGCTTCCCGTAGTAGTAGCTGTCAATGACCACCACAGGCACCTGAAACAGAGCAGGAAATAAACAGCAATTGCAGGGGTTTGTTCTGCAAACATTCTCCCAGGGGGAGCAGGATAAACTTGAGAATAACAGAATGACCTTCTCATGTTCTCTTTCCTACATCAGAACATGCTTTCATTACAATGTTCAAACAAAACAGGTAAAAAAATAAAACTCACCAGAAAGAGTATTAGGGCCACCAGAGACCAATGAAAGAAACTCTTCCACCTGTGTTTCATGACCAGCAAATCAAAGGCAATGGGTAAACTATTTAACAGAGAAACAAAGTAGGAAATTAAATACTTACAACATAGACTCAAACAAGTCTGATTCACACATACTTCATGCTGAACACAGGGGGAAAAAATGCCTCTAGCAGTTATAGTGAGGAAAGAACACTAGTATATAAGAGGAGGTCTTCTCAAAAATACAGTTTTCTGTTTAGAGAGCCCATGATAGTACTTCACACCCCATGATGCACAAGGAACATTAATACTGAGCTTCTGGAAGGAGCTCCTTATTATACCTATTCATGTGTGACAGACATTTAAAATACATTAATTCTAAGTAACTGTGCCCTGTGGTCCTACACCAACCCTGCCAAATGAATAAATACAAATCTCTTCCATGATTTATAAAAATTCTGCTAACACTACAAACTTGAGTAAGTCAGTTCTGATACATCCCCTTCCAATACCATTTGCTCTTCTCCCTTTCACTTAAATTCCACAAGCTGCCTTCCCCACTTCTTCCCGAAGGCCTGGCTTTAAGGCAGGGAGAATGACATAAGGTCAACAGGCACCTCCCCTCAGCCAGACCCCGAATCTCTTCACTACTTCCATCTACCTTGGTCTTCCTGTGGCACTTGACACAAAGCATCTGTTCGTCCTCTTTAGGCTTCCTGGCTCCTGCTCTTTTCTGGCCTCTTCCCAAGTGCACCTTTTCCTTATAGTGCCCTACCACGGTCTATTTCCCAAAAGCAAACTTCTACTCTTCTTTCTCTACATCATTTTCTCAGGAGGTACCTCCACTCTTACATCATCAACCATCACCTTCATGCCCAGGACCTCCAGATCTGGTACACTAGCCAGAATCTTCACCCATGCTCCCGCCAAAAGAAATTCCCTCCCCACACCAATCTGATACGACACAATTTACCCAAAATTCACCACAGGCTCTGCTCTCAACTCCTCTGCGGAACCGATTTCTCCTGTCTCTGAGTTTACATAGCATTATCATGTGTATCATTTACTTAGCAATGTCATATGCTACCACAAGGCATCTCTTCTGTGATAGGAACTTCCACATTCTATTATCTAAGTTTTGCATTAACTTTTTGTGTTTTCATTTTTTTCTGCCCAACCAGTGACATTCCCATGGCATCTGTACTTCTCCTTTGGTAAGTCATCATACTTCTATTTACTTGTTCAAGGTCGGTCTTTCCTACTAAAATATAAGCTCCAAAAGAGCAGGAAGCGTAACTGTCTTATCACAGTATCAGCAGCATGTAGCACAAAGTATTCAATAAATGATGATAGACTGCTGATTGTGATCCTGAAACCACTGATCTCCCCTAAAGGCAGACCAATCAATATGTGCCACCTAAAGGTATTTGAGGAACTCATAAAGTTCAATGTCGATGGGGCAGAGTAAAAGGAATGGAGGAAGTGAAAAAAAAATACTTTTACTTACTGGAGAATTAAAAAGGAGGCAGGATTGGGGTTTTTTGAGTCATGTTAGAATCTGGACACCATAGAACAGAGGCTGGCAAGCTTTTTATTGAAAGGACCTGCCAGTATATATTTTAGGCTCTGCAGGCCACATATGGTCTCTGTTTCATGTTGTGTGTGTGTCTGTACTGTGTGTGTGTGGGTGGGTGGGTGGGTGTGGGTGTGTTGTTAACAACCCTTTATAATACAACAACTTCCTAGTTCTCGGGCTGCACAAAACAAGACCAGCTGCACTGGGCCCACAGGCCACAGGCTGTCAACTTCTGTGACACAGAGCAACGGGGAAGCTATTATAGAGTTTAAAACAAAACAGGCCGTGATAAAATCCTATTTGCATTTTAGGAAGTTAAGTCTAGTTTGATTATAGAAAGCAGATCTACAGAGATCAAGCCTAGAGATGGGAAGATCATTTAGGAGTCTGCATAGTAACTCAGGAGCAGAGGTGAAGAAAAGTAGATTCAAGATATTCAGGAGATATAACAAACAGGACATGGGAAAAAGAAAAGAGTCACAGGTAATTTTCAGGTTCCTGACTGAGCACTGAGCAGATGATGGTATCATTTACTGGGATAGAAACATAGATAAAAGAACAGATACGGAGGGAAGACAGTGAGCTCAGTTTTGAATTATCAAGATGGTTGAGATAAAAGAAGAAGGCCTCACACAAAATCCTGAATACAGTATTTTGAGGATAAACAGAATCAAAGATTGGAGGTGGGGAAACCAGCCTTTAAAAGACAAATTAAGGGGATGCCTGGGTGGCTCAGTCAGGTGGGCAACCAACTTCAGCTCTTGTCATGATCTCAAGGTTTGGGAGTTTGAGCCCCTCATTGGGCTCTGTGCTGCCAGCTCAGAGCCTGGATCCTGCTTCAGATTCCATGCCTCCCTCTCTCTCTCTGCCCCTCAGCCACTTACACTCTCTCTCAAAAATAAAAGTTAAAAAATAATAAAAATAGAAGACAATTAAGAAAACATAGAATATTGATCCTCTTAGTAACCCCCATTCCAGAAATTTACCGTATCAATAAATTTCCATCAATGTATAGACATGTGGACAAAAACGTTCACTAAAGCATTGTACATCATAGGAGAATACTGAAAACTAAATCTCTCCGATAAGGCAACGGCCACATCAGGGTCAGAAAGTGGAATGCTGTGCCATCTGTACAAAGACCAATGTAGATACAACAAAAAGTATGTACAGGTACAAGGTAATCCTATTTAATTTCCAGGATGTCCATGTGTGTGCCTTTACACATGAGGACAGTTTCTAGAAAGATATATACGAAAGTATATAAGAGTACCTTTGAAGATGAGGCTACGGGCAAAGTAAATTAGGAATTCTTTCTACCTAAAACAAACTGGCATTTTTTTTTACAATAGAAATAGACTAGTACAGTTGACTTTTGAACAGCATGGGTTTAAACTGCGTGGGTCCGCATGTATGCCAATTGTTTCTTATAAATACAGTACAGTACTGTGAATAAATCTTCTTTTCTTAGTAACACTTTCTTCTCTGTAGCTTAACTTTATTGTAAGAATACGGTATAGGATACATATAACACACACCAAGTACGTGTTAATTGAGTAAGTAATCAGTAAGCCTTCTGGTCAACAATAAGCTATTGTAAAGTTTCTGGGGAGTCAAAAGTTACATGCAGATTTTGGGCTGTGCAGGGGGTCAGTGCCCCTAACACCCAGGCTGTTCAAGGGTCAGCTGTACTACAATAACCTTAACATCAAACTACAGTATTTTTCCAAATTACCTGCAGTGCAGGTGAGAAGCAAATGCAGCACAGACTAGAGCCAAAGTGGCAAAAACAAGGAACATGAGCAACAAAGCTGCTTGGGGAAAAGTTGCTGAGCTAACACCACGAGCCTGCAGGTCAAGTCCGACTTCAGGCCTGGGAGTGGGAAACGCACGTCACCGAGTAGTGTAGCGTAGAAGAAACATCAGTGATGGGGTCAGGGAGGCCTGGATCCAAAAGCAGTCATCACCTTCAAGGCAAATTTCTCACCCTCCTGGAGTCTACTTTCTCCCTTCTGAAGCACTACTACTTGGATTTCTCCTGCAAAGCTGTTATAAGGTTTAGGAATAAAGTTTCTAAGGGGATTCATGGCACCTAACACACAGCAGATGCCTAAGAGTCACTATTGGTATCAGATTTAATCCTAACAATAAACACCGAGAGACAGATTCTTCCAACTCCCAGAATTTGGGTAGGTCTGATTCATTCCTTTGACTTCAGGTCATAACCAAGGAACACGGAGATAAGCCAACGCTCATATTGACTTTGTGTCCAATGATACCAGAAGATGAATTTTGTTGGTTTCTTACCCAAGGGCAGCACTGAATGGCCAGCCCAAGATAGCCCCAGCTGCCACTCCAAGCACAGCAATGGAAGTCTTGTCCAAATACCAGCCAGTCATGGCTACCAGCGTGGTGTACATACAGAAGCTGCTAGGAAGGAGTGCTGCAAGGGTAAAGAAAAGGGGAATAGAAGGGGGGTGGGAGGGACAAAAGTAGGAGACTGATTAGGTATTATCAAAAATCTACCCACATTGCAGGAGGTCAATCACCAGGAACAGGTTTTGAGGAACACTGTAGGAGAAATGTGTAGTAAAGTGATACTCCTTAAGTAACAATGAAATTCAAGGGTATTCATATTTTCTCACTCCTGTTTTTTAGGTACCAACAACACTGCCTACTTATACAATATAAACCATGCCATTCTTCTCCTGGCCTGTACTCCAAATCCAGAACTTACAGATTTCCAGTTATATTTCCAGGCAGAGAATATGCTTCAAGAAACTTAGACCCATTGCTGACTATTTCTGAAGAATTTTATCTTCTGGTAGTCTTCCGAGACTGTCCTGGCACTAACTTTACCTCATAGGAAGTCTAGGAAGCCTTCTCAAGGGCCAAATATCACATCCTGCATCCACTGACATGGATAATTTGGCCTTTAGATGTCCCCTAATTACTTTTGTCTAGCATTACTTTGTTACAACAAAGTAACTGTTTACTACAGTAAACAGCAGAGGACGGAGTACTTTCAGGGTCTCTGTTGCAGTAACATTTGATCAGTGTTTCTAACAAGGTGACACAAAAATGCAGATCTGCCTCTCCAGGCTGTACAAGGCCTTCTTCACGAACACTAGAAAAGAAAAATCAGCATGAGGCAAGGACCACAACGAAGGGCAGTATGATCTCACAAAATCAGTCAAGGGTTTAGAAGCTGTATGTAAAAGGATGCCTTGAATTTCTCTGTGCTTCAATATCCTCAACTGAGATGACAAAGCTAAAGCCACTCCTGAACACCTCCCACACTCAATCAGTTTTAGGAATAGCAAAATAACTAAAAAAACCTAAGGTACAACTTCACTGATCAATGCTAAATAATACTGATGCCATCCAAAGCTATCAATTACAGCTGCCAATGTAGAGAACAAAGGGAGCAGAGGAATGAGAGGCCTCTGCCAGCTCAGAAGGAACAGCACAGTCTCGTTTAGAGCAGTGACATTCAAAATTATTCACTGTTCGTGGGTTTGAGCCCCGCGTCACGCTCTGTGCTCACAGTTCAGAGCCTAGAGCCTGCTTCCGATTCTGGGTCTTCCTCTCTCTCTGCCCCTACCCTGGCTTGTGCTCTGTTTCTGTCTCTCTAAAGTAATAACAACATTTTAAAAAAAAAATTTTTTTTTTAATTATTCAGTTGTGGAATCCTGAGGTCCCTGCAGAACACAAAGTTTGATACAGTCGACAAAGTACATACTTTTGTGCTGGAAGCTATTTTTGTGTGTATATTTAGTGTATATACTAGATTCTGGTATACATAAGCAGACATTAAAACTGGCATAGTTATAACTAGTAGCTTAATTTTTTTTCAGAGCATCAGAAACAGGCTACCTTTTGGCAATAGGCCACTGTGACTCAGCTCAGACAACACAAGTGTTCAACGGAGCACAGTTTGTAAGCCACCAGTCTAATATTGTAATTTCTCTTTAAGTTTACTTAAAAAAAAAAAAAAAAAAGCCCAACAGGGAGGACGTATGCCTTTACAGAATACATCGCAAATAAGAAACAGAAAGCAGAACCATAAAGAACAGGGTTTTTACACACAAACAAGAAAAACAAAATTATTTTTCTCCCCCTAACAGCAGGGAAAGGCAACAGGTGTTTTTCAGCCTTGTGAGGAAGTGATAAAAAACAAAAACAAAAACAAAAAATCTACAACCATGTAATAGAAAGCAGTATGGTGAAAATAACTTTTCACCTTTTTAAGTTTCCGAGTCCTCATCTGCACAATGGGAAAATATTTATCATACTAACACAGGACTGCCATAAAGGATGATGAAGATCATGCAGATAACGGTGCTCTGCAAACTACTGATATGCTATACAATGTAACCTACACCTACACAAAGTCTTCCTTTCAGCTCAGCTGTGAAAGATCAGTGGACCTGTTACAACTTCCCCTGACCGTTTACTTACCTGATGATGAACAAAACATGCCAGTGCTAAGAACCAAGAAGGCCAGCATCATCCGACTCACATGCAGCCCAAACTTCTTGCACACAGCCCTAGGAGAAAGGCAAAGACTATCAGCATGGCAAATCTTAGGGACAGACATTTCAAATCAAAAGACAAAAACATGCCTGCTTCACAGAGAACACTGAAGATTTAAAGTCAAACACAGAACTGCCTGGACAGGTTTGTCAGCAATTTTGTGTGCCTAACAAACCCAAACATTCTTATTCTTTAAGTAGAAGAGAAGCGCTCTACCTAAAAAAAAATGCATGCTTTCTGGACTAAGAGTAGGTAGACGATCAATAGGAAAACAGCATCATGTAGTGGAAAAACAATAGGCCTCACATTCAGAGGGGCACAGGTTCAAATTTGGGCTCCTCCACTTACTAACACTGGTAGGTACCCTGGTCTAGCGACAACACTGTCCAATTCCTTATCTGTAAAGTGAGGGTAATGCTAAGGTCTACTTTCTAAGATTTGTGTGAGGACAATACATGGGAAAGTGCTGGGAGCACCGGGAACAGAGTGACTCAATACAGGGTAGTTATCAGAAGAGAAGAGTAGGAGATACACCACGTGTCACTAAGTCCACATTCCTCAAAATGAAGCAATTACACACTTCCTTTACCTCTTTCGTGGAGGTCTTTAACCCTGTGAACATTATGAGCAATCACTGCTGCTTCATTTGGTCAACATTTGTTCCAACATATGCCTGTGTAAACCATCCTCTTGCTCAGGTCCCTTAGAGAAGCTCAGAGCTTCTTTCTGAATTACCTTGGCTTCCAGCTAAGGCTATCTTTTATAAGTGTCTTTACTGAAGATCTGCTAATGGCAAATTCCCTCTTTTTTGTTTTTTGGGGTTTTTTCTTTTTTTGGTCCAAAAAAAAAAGTCTTATTTAGTGCTTCGTCTTAAAAGAGGATTTCGCGGAGTACACAATTTTAGGATGAAGCCATTTTCTCCAAGAACTTTGAATATATATATATATTTTTTTAATGTGCCAGATTTTAAGAAGGCTTCTGTCAGTCTAATACTCCTTTGTAGATATATTCTATTAGTTCTCTGTCAACCTTTAAGATCTTCTTTACACTTAGTGTTCTATGTAGTTTCACTAATTCCTTTTTATTTACCCAGCTCAGGATAGGTTAGGCTCCCTGAATCTATGAATTAGGATCTTGGGTTTCACGGATCCTGGAAAATTCTTAACCATTATTTCCCCAAATACGGCCTTCTCCCCACTCTATCATCTCCTAGAATCTGATTAGACTAACACTGGATCGGTCAAATCTACCAGAGGTAGGTGTCTTAATCTCTTCATATGTTCTTTTTATTTCCTTTTTGTCGTGCTGTACTTCATTCCTACTCATTTCTTCCAATCGATCTAACTTACTCATTAACACGTCTAATTGGCGGTTTCAACTAGCCACTGAACTTTAAATATCAGTTGTTCACTTTCACTTCTACAAGTTGTGTTTGGTTCTTTTTTCAAATCTGCTGGGCCATTTTTGTAGTCTCACTCCTTTTTCCTTTTAGCTTTTCTATTTTATCGTGGTAATAACACATGGGAGACGTACCCTCTTAACAGACTCTTAAGTGTAAACTACAGGATCGTTAATAGGCACAATGTTTACAGTAGCACTCTAGCACTTACCCATCTTGCACAACTGAAATTTTATATGCATTTATCAGCAACTCCTCACTTCCCCCTCTCCCTAACCCCTGGCAACCACAATTCTATTCTTGGATTCCATGAGTTTGATTATTTTAGAATCCTCACACAAGTCAAATTAGCCAGTGTTTGTCCATCTTTAATTGGTTAGCTCATTTGGCCTATCCTCAAGGCTCATGCATGTTGTCACATTATTACAGGATTTCCTTCTAATACTGAGTATTCCATTCTACGTATATACCACATTTCCCCCCCACCATGCATCAGTCAATGGACACTTAACTTGTTTCCCATCTTGGCTACTGTGAATAGTGCTACAATAAACATGGAAGTACAGATACCTCTTCAAGATCCTGTTTCGGTTCTTTTAGATGAATACCCAGAAGTTGGATTGCTGGATCATATGGTACTTCTACTTTTAGTTTTTTGAGGATCCTCCGTACTGTTTTTGCACAGTGGCCATATCATTTTTCTTTCCCATCTAGAGTATCCAAAAGTTCCAAACCATTCTTGCCAACACCAGCTGTTTTTTCGTTGGTAATAGCCATTCTAACAAGAATGAGGTCATATAGCTCATTGTGGTTTTTATTTGCATTTACCAGAGGATTAGTGACACTGTATCTTTTCATATACCTGTTCGCTAAGCATGCATCTTCTTTAGAAAAAGGTCTGTTCAAGTTCTTGGTCCTTTTTTAACCAGTTTGTTATTGAATTGGACGAGTTTCTTATATATTGTGGAACTGAACCTCTTTTCAGATCATGGTTTTCAAATATTTCCTCCCATTCTCCAAGTTCCTTTTCACTCAATGGATTATTTAGGCTCTTGTTTCTTATTCATGTTTTCAATTCTTTATTTCTTTAAAATTATCATTTATTTTATATTCTTATTTTAATAATTCCTAATAAATAAAGTTTTGCAGGTCAGCTTTCTGTTGTTATTTCTGCTGGTTCTCACTTAAGTCTGCTTCTCTTCTGTGCTTTGTGATTTGTTTTTATTATAACTTCTTGTTCAGTAGAACTTTATTTGTCATAGTTCTTTGACACCTGGATTAAAAATCGATTTCTCTGGAGAAATTTTCCATTTGTTTTTGCCAGATGCCTAGGAGTAATACCAACCCGTAACAGTTTTCAAATAAATTCTCAACTTGGGGTGGGTGGAGGGTTTGAGGGACCACAAAGGTGATTTGAACGCAGTCCTAAACCCCTAAGTAGACCACTGTATGGTTACAATCCTCAAAGACAGCACTGGCTTTCTTTTTTCTCCCCTGTGCCACCCCGACTCAACACAAGAATTTTATCTGACATTTTTATCTGTTTTGCAGCGGGAAGATTTTTTAAATAATTATTATTAAGTCTAAATACCCCTTAAAGCATTATTAAGATGTGTTAGGTTTCAAGTAAAAAAAAAAAAAAAGTGGCTATTTTTATTACTGTGACACTTAAATGCTTTTCTTTTTTTATTTTTTTTAACGTTTATTTATTTTTGAGACAGAAAGAGAGCACGGGTGGGGGAGGGGCAGAAAGAGAGGGAGACACAGAACCTGAAACAAGCTCCAGGCTCTGAGCTGTCAGCACAGAGCCCGATGCGGGGCTCAAACCCACGAACCGTAAGATCATGACATGAGCTGAAGTCGGACACTTAACCGACTGAGCCACCCAGGCGCCCTGACACTTAAATTCTTAATACTTCCACTAACATTCAACCAACCAACAGGTACTTGGGCAAAGACCACGTCCTGAGTGCAAATAAGAGCAGTGAGTCCCTGGGGCACCTGGGTAGCTCGGGTGGTTAAGCGTCCAACTTCGGCTCAGGTCATGATCCCGTCATTCGTGGGTTTAAGCCCTGAGTCAGGCTCAGGATTAACAGCTCAGAGCCTGAAGCCTGCTTCAGATTCTGTGTCTCCCTGTCCCTCCCCCGCTTGCATGCTCTCTCAAAAATAAACATTAAAAAAAAATTTAAGGGGCGCCTGGGTGGCGCAGTCGGTTAAGCGTCCGACTTCAGCCAGGTCACGATCTCGCGGTCCATGAGTTCGAGCCCCGCGTCAGGCTCTGGGCTGATGGCTCGGAGCCTGGAGCCTGTTTCTGATTCTGTGTCTCCCTCTCTCTCTGCCCCTCCCCCGTTCATGCTCTGTCTCTCTCTGTCCCAAAAATAAATAAAAAACGTTGAAAAAAAAATTTAAGAGCAGCAAGTCCCACAACAGGAATAATTTCCCATCATCTAAGCTCAAGGCGAAGAGGTAAATCATATTTATCTTGAGACCAAAAATAAGGCTCTACTAAATTCTACCAAATGAAACACCAGTTAGAGGTGTTTAAACATAATTTCACTTTATATGAAGATATGGAGGGATATCTGTACTCCCATGTTTACTGTAGTACTATTCACAACAGCCAAGACATGGAATCAACCTCAATGTCCATCTATGAATGAATAAAGAAAATGTGGCATATATAACAATGGAATAGGGCATCTGGGTGGCTCAGCTGAGTGCCTGACTTCAGCTCAGGACATGATCTAACCGTTCATGAGTTCGAGCCCCACAAGGGCTTTGTGATGACAGTGCAGAGCCTGCTTCAGATTCCCTCTCTCTCCCTCCCTCCCTCCTTCCCTCTCTCCTTCTCCCTTTCTCTCTCCCCCCCCCCGCCCCTCCCCAGCCCCCACTCTGGCTCTCTCAAGGAAATATTTTTAAAAAATAAAACTCTTAAAAAAGATATACAATGGAATATCATCATTTAAAAAGGAAATCCTGCCATTTCCAACAGGTGGATGGACCTTCAGGGTATTACTCTAAGTGATAAGTCAGATACTAAAAGACATATAGTGTAATAACTCACACGTGGAATCTAAAAAAGCCAAACTTGCAGAAACAAAGTAAAATGGTGGCTGCCAGGGGCTGGGGAAGCAGGGAGTCAGGGACAGGGAGGATTAGGAGATATTCATCAAAAGGTATAAACTTCCAACTATAAGTTCTGGAAGATCTAGTATACAGCATGGTGACTATAGCTAACAATACATTATTATATACTTGAAAGGTGCTAGAAGAGCAAGTCTTAAATGTTCTCACCACACATAAAGTTGTACTCATGTCAAGTAAGGTATGTGTTAACCTTACTGTCATATTTCATTACAGATACGTTTATCAATTATCTGTACACCTTAAATTTACACAATGTTCTATTTCAATTGTAGATCAATAAAGTGAGAAAAAAATTTTAAGTCCTACTTCAAATATATTATTAGGAGCCAGGAGAAAAGTATTTTCTATTATAAATACTGCTTATGCTATCAGAAATAATCTTATGCTGTACTGACCTTTCTCATAGCACTTTCAGAAGCAAAGCTTTTATACTCACTTGTAAAAGTAAAGTTCACAGATGCAGCTCACAAAAGCCAGGAGACATCGTAAAAAGTAAAAGACAAGAATCTGAAAGAAACCAAGAAGAAGACAACAGAAGTCATAGAAACAAAACTCAAGATAAAACCACTCTCATTTGTTATTAGTAACACTATGAACTGGTATAATCTTCCTGAAAGGCAGTATTATCAAGAATCATAAACATTTTCATACCCCTAGATCCACTGTACCTATTTCTAGGAGTCCAGCCCACAGAAGTAACTGAAAATATGGAGGGGGGTGGTTAGTTCTGCTCATGCAAATGGTCACTGCAGCACTATTAATTTAAGGGGGGAAAAAGAACATTTAAAAAAAAAAAAAACTACACAATATCCGATTACAGGGCAATCAGTCAATTCTGCTACATACATTTCATGTACTATTACACCGATAAAATTTATGGTTACACAAACAGTCAAAGAATTCATAGGATATAAAACTCCTACATTCAACAAACATTTCCTAAATCGTTATATATTGATAATTACCAGTAATTACAAAATGCCAGGTAAAAGTGTACATTATTATTTACACATCACAATCACAGCTTTGGAAATCAGAAGCATATGAAAAGGCTGAAAAGAAATGTGATAAAATGGTAAAGGTGGCATGAAGGATGGACTCTGGATGACAATGATGTGTTAATACAGGTTCATGGATTGTAACAAGTGTATTACTCTAATGGGGGATGTGGATACGGGGAAGGCTATACATGTGTGGGGGCAGGGTGTATATGGGAAATCTCTGGACCTTCCACTCAATTGTGCGGTGTCTAAATTGAACTAAAAATAAAGCATATTAGAAAATAAATCAATGATAAATAAATAAATAAATAAAATAGTAAAGGTGGCTAAATCAAGCTGGTAGGAGTTAGGTGCACATTTTCCCTCTTACCTTCCAAATACCTGTAATGTGATTTTATTAATTTTATAATTAAAAACATCGATTTAAAAAATGAACATAATAGGGTTCTATTGAATAGCTTTCATATTATAGCACACTGGTATGTTGTTTTAATTTTTTTTTTTTAATGTTTATTTATTTTTGAGAGAGAGAGAGAGAGAGAGAGAGAGAGAGAGAACGAGAGAGAGAGAGAGAGAGAACATGAGCAGGGGAGGGGCAGAGAGGAGGGGAGACACAGACTCTGAAGCAGGCTCCGGGCTCTGTCAGCACAGAGCCCTATGCAGGGCTCAAACCCACCAACCACAAGATCATGACCTGAGATGAAGTCAGATGCTTAAACGACTGAGCCACCTAAGCACCCCACACTGGTATGTTTAAAAGCCTTGAATACCTCAGAATCTAAGTACTACTGAAATAGAGAAGTCCTGGTTGCTGCAAAATGACAGGAAATGAGGTATTAGGTATGGAATAAAAGAAACTAAACTCTACACACACAGATCAAAGAGCATCCAAGAGATTCACCTGATACATGAGTGACACTAATAAGGAAATTCAGCAAGATTTAGATTAAGATCAAAAAACAAAGATCAATTGTATTCCTCTGTATCAACAATGACTAACTAAAAAAAAATAATAAGGTTCCTTTCACAACAGCAACATAAAGTATTAAGAATGTAAGCCTTAACCTACCCAAGACTGGCTAAGACTGAAATGGGAACATTTAAAAATTTTACTAGAAGACCCAGAAAACCTAACCAAATGGGTAAATATATCATCTTAAGAATGAAATGACAAACCTATACACATTGATTTTCCTATTAATATATAATTCAGTGCAACTCTAATCAAAACGCAGAATTTGGGGGAGGGGCAAACAAATACTGAAATGATTTTTAAAATACAAATTTTCAAACGGACAAAGGGAGAAATTTATCAACCAGATATTTAACACACACAACAAAACCGTAATAATAAAAATATGGCACTGACAATTTGACCAATGACCTAAAATAAGGAAGCCAAAGCAAAGACCCATACATGTGGGAATAAAGTGTATGATAGCTATGCTATCACAAATCAGAGAAAGGATGGATTACTTGACAGGTGGTACGGAAAAATCCAGTTCACTCTATCACAAATAATAAAGCTGGATCTTTCTACCATTTATAAAAACTAATGTTCAAATTGACATGCCTGCCTGGCTCAGTATGGTGGAGCATGTTACTCTTGACCTTGGGGTTGCAAATTCAAGCCCCACCTTGGGTGTAGAGATTATTTTTTTAAGTATCTTTAAAAAAATATCCAAATGGATTAAAGCCTTATGTGACAGGTAAAACTATAAAGCTAAGCAAATATGTAAGAATATCTTTGTGAACTGTGGTGAAGAGCGATTTCTTTTGCAAAGACCCAAAACCCACCAACCTTAAGTGAATAACTAATTGGGTTGACTGTATCAATTAAAGATTTCTGTTCAACAAAGGTCCACAGCACAGTTAACACAGAGGAGACAGCCAAAAAGATTTCTAGTATTTCAAACCTGTACTTGGTTACTATTGAAAACTTCTACAAATCAGACAAGAAAACCAGAAAACCCAATTGAAAAACAGGCAAAGGATATGAATAGGTAATTCACAGAAAAGGAAAAACAAAGGACTATTAAATATTGCACTTCACGTCTAATTGGAGAAATGCAATTAAAATGAGAAACAGCTCACATCCATGAGAAGGGCAAAAATTATCAAGTCAGAAATATCAAGTGCTCAGGAGGTGTGAGGTGGCTGAAATGTGGAACAGAGTTGTGCAAGTGTGTAGCTGGATAGCCATTCTGGGGGGCAATCTGGCAGTATCCCATGAAATTAAGTAGCCTATGGATGTATATATGGGATGCGACTCCTGAGCAGAGTTCGACAAGACAAAACAAAGGTATTCTTGTTTAGAGTGGCAAGAAGTTGGAAAGGTAACCAACACAAAGGGATGCCAATTATTACCAGATGGTCTTTCAGCAACAATCCACCCTCTCTACTGTGCATCAGGATGCTGGAGCTGGAACTCTATAAGCTAATTCCCCGTTGCCAAGTGGCTTCCATTGGCAAAACCTAACAGGGAGGAGATTAGAAGAAAGAACAAGAAGGGAAATCTTCATTCCTGTTCTGCTTCCTGCTCGTGTCATTGACGTAAAAGAAAGAGTGATGGATTCGGTTGAACATGTCAAATTGCAAGGGACAGTGGATAGCCAAGTGGAAATAAAAGCCTTGAGCACCGCATATTGTTATTTCTCTACGAAGACCTCGTCCTGTATACGTCTGTTCTGCTAAGTTAAAAAAAAAATGAATTGATAGATAGGGAAGCAAAGGACAGTTTTATCCCTTTCTATAGGTGCTATCTTTCTGATGAGTCTAAAACACAAATGCCATCTTGTCTCTCCTCTAAAGCCTCTGGATGGGTTCAGAATGCCCTGGGGAGCCAGTGGGCATGGGGAGAAAGCCTAATTCCTTATTAGAGCCTACCAGGTGTTGTATAAATCTGGCCTCCTCCTACCTTTCAGTATCATGCAACTCACTCCACCACTCACTCTCTTCCAAGCATCAAGCCTATTTATATAAGGCCATGCTGGCCCTCTTCCCCGCCTCATGGCTTTCCTCCCGCATCCCCATTTTCCCTTTACCTAGCTGATTCCTACTGAACGTCTAGTTCTCTAATCAGGGACTTCTGCTTCATACAAGGTGGATTAGTTGCACTTTTCCCTATTCCTCCTACTATGTAAAACCAAAAACTCTGCACCTGACAGGTAAAGTAAACCTAACAAGACTCAAGGTAGAGAGAAGATGGCAGACTGCCTAGGGACTTTAGGACCAGAGGAAAAACACAGTGGTAAGTTCCCTAAGTTTTCTTTTTGCCTTATACATTCCAGACTTAGAGCTAAAGAAGGTGGCAGCTAGAAATGCCAATGAGCACAAACTAACACCAACCAAAGCCTGGCTGATCTAGCCAAGACACCAAGAAAGGGCTAGCCCAACAAGACAGAAAGCCTTTAAACAATAACCACTCTACTCCAGCAAAACACCCCCAGCTGGGGGAGGGAGGGGGGGATGTAGCCCAACTCCCATCCATGCCATCAAATATCCAGTAGGAAGCCAGGACTTTGATTCTCGCTGGTGGTAATGATCTCCCTCTCTGGACACATTGTCAGTGGTGACCACTTGGGTAAGCCTGGACTTCCACCTCCTCACCCCACCTAGCAGCAGTCAAGTATCCCTTTCCTGGCCACTTGAGCGAAGGTCTAGTGGGGAACCTCAACTTCTACCCCCATCTGGCAATAACAAAGGTGGAGAACTCTCTCCCTTCTCCTGCTAGAGGGTAACAAAAGCAGCCAGACCAAAAAGAAGGCTTAAATAAAACCCAAAAAGGCAGAGGAAGCACTTCAGGCCCAGGAAGAAGATTCAGTCTCAGAATGTAATACGCCAAATGGCCAAGGCTTCAACTGAAAATTAGTTGGAAGATGGCAAACTGAAAATTGTCAATCAATAGATACCAATTAGATAAAGGTCAGAATTACCTGACAAACTCTTAAAGGAGCCAATGTAAAAATGCTTCAGTGAGCAATTAAGAACACACTGGAAACAAACGAAAAAAATAGAAATTCTCAGTAAAGCAACAGAACATCTAAAGAAAAACCAAATGTAAATTTTAGAACTGAAAAAATACAATAACCAAAATAAAATCTTAAAAGATAGGCTCAACAGCAGAATGGAGAGCAGAGAGGAAAGAATTGATCAATTGGATGATTAGAAATTGCTCAATCAACACAGAAAACGGACTAGAAAGAAATTAATAGGGCCTCAGAGACCTAGGGTACTATAATTAAACATCTAACATTGATATCACTGGAATCTTAAGAGAAAACAAACAGAGCAGGGCTGAAGTACTCTGTAAAATAATAGCCAAAAATCTTCCCAAATTTAGCAAAAAGATGTAAGCCTAAATATTTAAGAAGGTTAGTAATTCCCGAATAGGACAAACCCAAAGAAATCCATGCCAAGACACATCATAGCAAATTCGTAAAAAGTCATCAGGTTAGGTCTCCATTCACTCCTACTTATTATCCTTCAGCACTCTGTTTAGTCTCCCCTACGATGCTGTCCCGTGGTACCTTGTACTTCTCTGCCCTAAGACCCACTGCATTTCTTTCTTTCTTTTCCATCCTCCCTCCCCCCATACCCCATCCCCTCACCCCATCCTCCCTTCCCTCTCTCCTCCCTCCCTCCTTCCTTCCTTTCTTTTGAAGAGAGAATGCAAGCAGGTAAGGGTTAGAGGGAGAGGGATAGAGGGCATCTTAAGCAGGCTCCACACCCAGCACAGAGCCCAACTCCAGGCTCAACCCCACAACTTTAAGATCATGACCTGAACCAAAATCAAAAGTCAGACACTTAACCAACTGAGCCACCCACATACCTCAACCCACAGCATTTAAAATCACTTGTTCAATTTCATCTTCCCCAACTATAAATTCCATGGGGGCAAGGATTTGGTCACTGTTACACCCACAGCTCTTAACAAAGTACCTACCAGATAAAAAGTTGGTCCACTAGTTAATATCCAAAACATGAGAAAAGCTTATATAACCCAACACACACAAAAACACACAATAATCCAATTTAAAAAGTGGGCAAAGGGGTGCCTGGGTGGCTCAGTCAGTTAAGCATCCAACTTCGGCTCAGGTCATGATCTCATAGCTCATGGGTTCGAGCCCCACATCGGGCTCTGTGCTGACAGCTCAGAGCCTGAAACCTGCTTCAGATTCTGTGTCTTCCTCTCACTCTCTCTCTCTTCCCCTCCCCAGCTTGCACACTGGCCCCTCTCTCTCAAAAATATTTAAAAAAATTTAAAAACAAACAAAAACAAAAAAACCACAAGATCTCAACTCACACCTGTCAAAATGGCCAAAATCACAAACACAGGAAACAAGTGTTGTTGAGGATGTCGAGTAAAAAGAACTCATGCATTGTTGGTGGAAATGTAAACTGGTACAACCACTGTGGAAAATAGTATCAAGGTTCCTCAAAAAATTAAAAATAGTATTACTGAATGATCCAGTAATAGTACTGCTATTTTCCCAAAGAAAATGAAACACTAATTCAAAAGTATATATGCAACCCTGTATTTATTGCAGCATTATTTACAATATCCAAATTATGGAAGCAGCCCAAGTGTTCCACTGACAGGTGAACAGATAAAGCAGACGTGGTATATATACATACAATGGAAGAGTATTCAGCCATAAAAAAGAATGAAATCTTGCAATTTGCAACAACTTGCCAATACCGTAGGATTTCACGCATATGTGGAATTTAAGAAACAAAACAAAAGAGACAAACCAAAAGAAAAAAAAAAACCCTCTTAAATACAGAAAACAAACTGATGGTTACCAGAGGGGAAGGGGGAGAGGAATGGGTCAAATAGGTTATAGGGAATAAGAAAACACTTATCTTGAGGAGCACATAGTAATATAAAACATTGTTGAATCACTGTATCGTACACCTGAAACTAATGTAAAGCTGGAGGTCAACTATTGCGGAATAAAAAATTGTTTAAAGTTGCTCCATTAATGCTTACTTAACAATGAATAAATGATTCTTAAAAAAAAAAAAAAAAAAAAAAGTCCTTTCCTACCTACCAATCTATTTTTCCCTTTTCTGAAAACTGTTCCAGAGACTCGCCTCTTGTTCAGCTGTAACTGCTTCCAAGTTGGCCTGCCCTTACCTTATTAGTTTGTAGGATTCTTGCATGAAATGCAGCTGGCCAGGCATGAAGCAACAGGTAGGCATAGGAGCGAATTGCATAAACAGGGGAATACTCCCAAGTCTGAAACCCCTTCCCATAGATGAGGTAGTGTGTCTGAAAGTACAAAACAGATAGGTTCCGGGTTAAATTGGCCAGAGATCCTTGCTAGCAGGTTGCAAGTGAAGTTTCTAAGCAAAAACATTAAAGAGACAAAGATACACAAAAAATGCTGACATTCTCAATAAGATCTCCAATAGATAATCAAAATGACCATTTAGTGAACAATCTTAGGACATTTTAAATTCCACATGACTGTTTGGTCAACGTTAAAAGCTTGAATTTTACCCTCCACTTTTTTTTTTTTTTAGTATTCATTAGCCAAAACAGACAAACTCTAAATCTTACCTTATCCTTAAGCTACCTACTCTAAACATCATTTGTTTAAAATGTAAAATAGATTAGAAAATTTCACCTCTAAATTTTCCTTAATAGGAAGTCAGCAGATTTACAAATGTGTAAATTAAGAAATAGCAGAATAAGCATACTACTTAGTAGCTTTTTTATTTTGGCAAACATCAGAGTAACTTCAAAAGCTCAAAGCAAGTAGTTCCTTCTAGGGACTGGGATTTGGCTATACAAGCAATGGAACAGAGAACTACTTTTTTCCCTTTAAGTTTCACAGTTGTTGGTTTTTTAAAAAGTATCTCGAGGTATTATTTTGATTTAAAATAATTTTTAAGAAAATTACAAATTACATCTTTTTTGCAAGAAGCCCAATTTCCTATGGCCTTCAACAACTGATCAGCTTAGAATACAAAAGTGAAAATAAAGTTTACTACCAGTCACACGTGTGTATTACTTGTATCTTGATTGGCAACAAGGCCCTAAGCAGTGAAATCGAGAACAAGAAAACTAAAGAAATCACCTACTGGTTCCCAGTAGTTGAAGGTTTCATCGCAGTCAGAGATGTTGCTTAAGAGAGCAGCACATAACCTTGCTGAGAGCAGACACTTGAAAGCAGTAGATCCCTCAGGTGCCCAGACTTGTCCTGCTTTGTTCCCAGACGACCTGCTCAGAAGTAAAGAAAAGATGCCTCAGGAAGACCCAACAACTAGAAGGCCTAAAACTGGACAGAAACGACAGGAATGGCAATGGTATCAAAGCACACTTAAGTAATTCACCTAACAAGTTAGTTGTTCTGAGAAATAAACAAGGGATGAAGAACTCTATTAAGCTTAATTACTCCTTCCACTTCCTACTTGTAAGGGGTAAGCTCACTCATACACTTTAATTCATTGTATCCATGACACTCCTTGAAGGCCAGAAAGCTCTCATTTTCCTTTTCTTAACAAGGTCATTACTTTCCACGGCTTTACTCATCTCCCCCTTGTACAAATGCACAGAGGCCTAATTTGTGCGAAGCACATAACCTCCTCCCATTCCGTATGTTGTCGGCTCCGTTAATGCAGTCCTAACCCGCAGTGCCCCGGGAGAGACGGCTGCAGGTGCTGGAGGTTGCGGGGCCCACACTTTAGAGCAAGGGGTTAGGGCTTTGGGGGCAATGAAGGAGACTGTGAGACACAGCCAACAAAGGTATGCTCTTCGCTCTTGCCAACGTCTCCCACAGAGGCTCTGCCAACTCAAACACCACGACGCCAGCCCACTGTGGGCCTGGGCCAGCAAACAGCCTTGAAGCGACACTCCAGGCTTTCTTCCCAAGCAAAATGGGACCCACGGTGGGGGACCCGAGGAGGCGCGAAGACCGGACGTGACCCGTCCTGGAAGAGCAGAAGGACCTGGGGGAAAAAGCAGCCTGGCCGCACCCGCGCCGCCGGGGGAGACCCTCCCGAGGACAGCCCCGCGCCGCCCTGCCGCCACGCCCCCGCCGCTCCCGCACACCTACTCGGTCCGTGACTCCGCGCCGCTCGCCTCCCGGCTGCACAGCAGCTCCCGCAGCTTGTCGGCGGCCGAAACCGTGTCCCCGCCGCTGCCCCCGCTCCCCTTCAGGCGCTGACGAGCCCCTCGGCTCGCCATGGCACGGGTGAAAAAGGTAGAATTCTGCTCCCTACCAAAGTGGCGAGCGCGCAGACATAGCTTTGGCTGGCAACGGTGTCCGCCGAGGGACAAAAGTCCTTGACATGCGCAGAAAAGACTGAATTGTAGCGTTATTGGGCCAATTGGGGCAAATCCTAAGTAGAAAAGAAACGAGAACTGCGACTTGACTTTCACAACCGTAGCTATCCCTTCAATATGTTTCTAACTGTGGCTATTCCTCCCCACTCCCCGCCTTCCTTCACTTTTCAGCACAAATGGAAAGTAACCAAACAACTCTACAGAGCACGCAGAGCTATTTATTCAGTTAAAGATAACAGCGCAGCTGCAGATGAAAGGGAAGGTCCTTAAAAGGTCGCGGACACCTTGCCCTTCTTCTGTTTTGGTGACATCGATAGAGACAACCTGTAGCTAATTATCTGCTCCATAGAGACGAAGCTGTAATGGCAGAATGTAAAGAAAAATGAAAGCCCAAAGAAATTCTGTGCCACAAATGCAACGAGACAGGCACTGCCATTGCTACCACAGCAATTCGGTAAGCATTTTACACCTTTCATCCATTTCCAAAATAATAAAACAATCTTGCTCTTATCAACAAGTAAATTATAGTAAGTAAATTGACGCCCAAGTTTGCATAGCTAGGAAATGGTGGAACCATATTCCAACCCACGTCTGCCTTATTACAAAGCCCATACTATTCCCACCAGGATGAGGTGAAAGCTCCTGATGTCAACAGATGATAGCACACCTGTGACTCCCAGGGGTTATTCATCTGTTCCTGATACCCTGCCCACAGAGTTCTATCCCATCCTGTGGACCTCTGTACTAGTAGCAGAAATGGGCCTTACAAGAAATGTGAAAGGGACTTCTGTAAGTGGAGGGTAAAAGCCACTTTTGAAGTATGACAATTATGAAAGGAAAAAATTTCATGAGTAAACGCAAATACAGCAAAGGCGGTAATCACTTATAAAGCTAGTATGAAGGCTGAAAGACTAAAGTAGTAAAGTGAATTATATCTAAAAAAAATTAGGGAGACTCAAGATAAAAGGCTGTAAAATATGCCAGTGTATACATAAAACGTGCAGGGAGAGTAAAAATTAAGCTCTTTCAGGTCTTTAAACTTAAGTGACCATCAAGTTAATATACATTGCTGTATACTAAGGATGTTAGATAGAGGGAGTGCTGAACTTGACAGGGTCCCAGGTTATTATTTAATACTAAAATTATTGACAATGGCGATTGATCATAGTGCTCAATTCCCACAGGCAAGTATTAGGTACCAAGTTCGGTCACCGCAGCCTGGTTGTATCTCCTACAGAGACCTCCTCTCATTTCACTCGAGTGCAGGTCCCTCCCTGCCCCTACCTAGGAGTGCTACAATAGCATCCTAACAGGGGTCTCCCATTTCAAATTCATCCTATACAACACTGTCCAGTTAACTTTTTTCAAAGATTTTAATGTTTATGTTTGAGACATAGAGGCAGAGCACAAGCTGGGGAGGGGAAGACAAAGAGGGAGACACAGAATCTGAAGCAGGCTCCTGGCTCTGAGCCATGTGCACAGAACCTGAGATGGGGCTTGAACTCAAGAACCGTGAGATCATGACCTGAGCTCAAGTCAGACGCTTAACCAAATGAGCCACCCAGGCGCCCCTATCCAATCAATTTTCAAATGCACTATTCTGTATTGCCTCCTTAATCAAAAATTACCAGTTTTCCTATTGCCTGCCAAATGAAGTACACTTTATTCTAGCATTCATTTCTTACATCAACTAAATCCGGCCCTAACCTACTTTCCTGATCTAATCTCCCACTACTTCCCTATACACATTTACATTCCAACTAACTAGCCTGAAAAGTGCCCCAGATGCTTCCTTATCTGTACCTCTGCCTGGAATGCAAGTCCTCTGTGGGGAAATAAGATCTACTTACATAAATAGGTTAGAAAAACGCTTAGGGCATGAAAGCCACCACCACGGAGTGAAAACGCCTGAAGACAGCTAGTAAGATATTGTAATGGGATCACGAGTAACTTGTTATATACTTGCAGGAAATTACATTCCACCTGACACCAATATACTATTATACTTTGATCACAAACTCCACTTGCCCCCCAGACCCTTTGCTTCTTACACACACAAGTTAATCATTACTATCTGATTGTTTTCTTCACGTTTACCACATGTGTAAGATCTTGAGCGCTCAGTAAATACGGCGACGAAAGGCCTGTTTGGGGATCTTGTCTCCTCCTGGATGTTAGCCTCTCTTGTGTTCAATTCTGCATCCACTCTCTTGCTGGACAAAAGAGAACTCCAAACTCATAGTCTGTGACAGTCCTCCTTGCCTAACAGTCCTCCTGTCACATCGCTACTCTTGTTTTAAGATCCAGCTCAAATGCTACCTTGTCCATGTACTAGGCACCACTGGGGATAGAAGCAAGCTATAAATCACATTACCTGCCCTCTATTCATTTATAGTGTATGTAGAAAGCTAAGCAATAAATGTATCCATAAGAGATCTTTGTTCTTTACCCCACTCCCCAAACTGTTATGCCAGTTTTCCCATCCCCGTTAATGATACTTCTGTTCTTCCAGATCAAAAACCATAGTCAGTCCTGCTTGATTCCTGTTTCTTCAGCCCCACACCCTTCACCCATGCACATGTAGTTCATCAGCAAATACTTTTAAATATTACTCAACCCAACAACGTCTTACCATCCTGGTCCAGGTCACCATTATCTCTGGTTGTGTTACTGTAATAACCTCCTAATATGTTTCTTGGCTTCCATTCTTGCCTTCCCACATGTTTTTCTCCAAATACAAGAATAAGACAGTTATTTCCTACTGAGTTTACAATATAAGTCCAATCTGTGGAGACTATTCATTAACAGGAACATCCATTAATTAATATTAGAGGACTCTATCATTCTGTAGAGTCCTGGGCTGAACCAATGAGCTGAGCCAATCTCCCAGTGTCTCTTAGAGATGCTTGTAACAGAAGCCTCCAAAATATAGGAGGACTAAGTTTACAGTTGAGAGGCTACTAATGAAGAAGACTAGTTTGGAAGAAATAACAATGGCAGAAGGAAAATGGGCTTTAGAGTCAGACCCAAGTGTGAACTCTAGTTAATCTGACATTAACCAGTTCCATGACTTCAACAGTAGTCAACCATGGAATAAATATTGTAATAATACCAATACTAATTATGGAGCCTTTCAACTTACCCAAGCTAATAAATGTTGCTCTGACTCCAAAAACCACTCTAGTAAGTTGATTTAATGATGTAATACAATAGGGTTAAAGGAAGAGGAATTAACAGTGTGGAAAATATAAATATAAGACACTCAAATTCTACTGCATCTTCAGCAACAGAGCATCTGAAGTACAAGACAGGTTTGTTGTATTTGTTTTCCTAGTCATTTTTCAGCATCAAAATACTGTAAACTCCAAAGGTCACCAGTCACATTATAGTCTGTTAAGTTTAAGTGACAGAGCCACAAGTTTCTTTTTTACTTTTTAATATTTTTAATTTCTTTTTATTTTAGCAAGACAGAGTGCATGAGCAGGGGACAGGGGCAGAAGGAGAGAGAGACTCTTAAGCAGACTCCATGCTCCACGCAGAGCCTGACACAGGGCTCGATCCCATGACCCTGGGACCATGACCTGAGCCAAAATCAAGAGTTGGATACTCAACACTCAACCCACTGAGCCACCCAGGTGCCCTGAGCCACAAGTTTCTCTAGAATCAACCAACACTGGCCAAAGTCACAAGGTTAAAGATTTTACAAAAAACACAGTTCAGAAAAGACTACTAGTTATAACTTGGTCTTTTTCATTGGCATCTGCACCCAAACCCACAGCCACAGGGATCACTCTGGAAAAATGAATTTACTAAACTACCGAGGTATTACATGTAGTCTTTGCTGAATCTCTTTCCTAAGCTGTGACTGCATTGATGACACCTGTTGCTGGGGGAGGGCTTTGTCACACGTCTGGTAAGTCAATCTATAGCAGAGACTGACCTGTTGAGTCTTTGGATGCTGAAAACGACTAAGGAACTGTATGGATATGACAGTGTCCCGGGACACTGCTCGGGCCACCGTGTGAAATTCTAGTTCATCAAATCCTTTCTTCTCATCTAACCAAAAACTAATATCATGAACATAGCATGGAGGATACAGGCAATAGCTTTTAAAGGGTTCTATACTCCCAGAGACAAAATTTTTCAGGAAACGGTGATCAAAGGTCCACAGCATCCTCCAGTCAGAGATGCCCCAGACAAGCATGGCTAGTAGGTCCAAGTTCATAGACACAAACATAAAACACTGGTCTTTGTGCATAATGCCTGTAGCAGATGTGACGACAGACCCAATAATCAGAGCCTTGGCACAATCTGGGCCAAAATTAGGACGCTTCACATTAATAATATACTCTTTGCCATTTGGTTGAAAGACAAATTCCACTGAACTGCTCGGCTGAGAGCCCTCCAGCAATGTGTGGGTGAGAAGGCTATCAAGAAAACCCTTCAGGTGCTCCAGTAGTGACTGAAGACAACCATCCTTCAGATTTTTATTAAACCCGATGACAAATAAAGTCTCATGAAATGCTGGCATTGTGAAAGGCAAGATGCGGCACTTCCGAAAGACAGGTCCACTGAGGATGTGCAGGTAACCTGGGACAAAGTCTGGTGCTTGGATGACAGCCTGAACATGAACTAGGAGAGAAGGCCTAAGGCAGACCGTGGTTTGGCCATAGCTTTCTTCATGAGCTTCTTCCTTACTGTCGCTTCCAGGATCCTTGAGAAGGCTAAGTTCTGAAAATAGCGCCAGAAAGTCCTCCATGTCTTGTGTTGTCCCATCAGTCAGGGACTCAGAATTTGAGTCATCTTCACGGAGACTAATCCAAAAGGCAGCTGACAGAATGTCACAGTTCCAGGAAGTGAGAGCACTAGTGCTTCCCTGTGGCAGCAAAGGGAAGGGACGCTTCAGCCTTTTTAGAGGGAAAACTTTGCCCAATTCCGCAATGAGTTTCTCATTAATAGTTCTGACAGGATGACATGAAGGTGCTTCTAGGAAACCTCTGTTTAAGCGCACATAAAAATAACTTTTTAAACTTGAAACAATAAAGAGTTAGAATGGATCTAAAATTAAAAGCACAAATAGCACAGAAAAGAATTATCTTTAAAGTGATCCTGAAAGCAAATAAAAAAAAAAATCTACCATAATAAATAGAGATATCACGTGCTTCAGACCTCTGACAGCCACAATCCCGATGATATACCACAAAATGTGACAAATTTTAATTCTAAAAAGGCTTGTGTAGGGCCAGACTGACAGGAATTCATAGCACCAACATCATTAACAATTTATATTGCACCCATTCAATATACGGTTGCCATCAAAGCAACGGAGATACAACTAGAGAGAGAAGTAACTTCTGGTAAAACAGCAGGTTACCTGTTCAACTTTCCTACAAGTGCTTCTGGTTCTGGAAAGGAAAACCACCGGCCACCCACTTTGGTCCTGAAGATTCTGGGCTGTGAATCTTCAAAGGGTAAGCTCCGGGTGAAGATATGGTTCAAAGCACCTTCTACATGAAAGGACTTGTCTTGACTCCTGGCAAAAACAGTCACCAAGTATGGAGTCAGTGAGTCTTTTCTCTTTCTTTCTCTTCTTTCTTTCTTATTTATTTATTGCCATTTTTTAAAAAGCAAGTATCTCTAGGGACCAAAGCAGGAAATTGGTAGGGGAAAGTCTGCCTATGAGATTTTTTTCATTATTAGTGAAAGAAATGAAAAAGGCTCAGACCTCTGTTATTACTTACCTATATCCAGTGCACTTGTACCCTGGCACAGCCTCACAGCTGAAGGGATGCACGTCACTTAAAATGAATCCCCCCAGAGCTGCCATGGCAACTACTTGCCAACTGTTATGCCATTCTCTTGTGGGCTTATCAGCAGGAGTCCCACCTTGTCCTCTACACAATGCCACATAGACTTCTCCTTCCGGTGCGAGAACATCTTTACAGCTAACGGGGAGGAGGACACCAGCATTTTATCAAAACCAGTTGAAACGACCATAGGAAATAAGCTGTATAAACATGGTTTGGCTGTGAAATAATTAAAATCCTATCATATCTATTTACAAAGGTCCACAGACTTCAAACCTGCAAAGGAAGCAACTGGAAGTAAGAATGTAAAATCAATGTTCAACTCATAACTGATACTCGCGGCTGACCAGGGTATTATCTGGCTTTGTATCTGCAGTGTTCATCATAAACAGGTCATACAAAGGTCAATATCTGCAAAGTTCCTATACACAATTCATTTCCCAGTTTAGAGAGTTGTTCTTGTAAATTCACTTCCCTTCCTGACTATTAAAATTCTATACTTCAAATACTAACTTGAAATCTTGGCTCTGTGAAAAGTTTCTTGACAACTGTGACCTCCCCCCACCCCCAGAGACCTCCAATAGTATCACATGTTTTGGTAGAATAGCGTAAAGCACAGTTTTTAGTTCACGATAATTTGACGTAGTTACCATTAATATCCTATCCTGTTTATGGATGAAGAGGCACAAGTATGTAAGGATCAAGTAAGCTTACCCCAAATCACACAATTAGTAAGAGGTGGGTGGGGATTTGAATCCAGGCAGTTTGGCTCCTAAACCCATGCTTTTAGCCATTACATTATACTGGCTACCGTTATCTTGCATTATCCAAAATAGGTGATCCTCCCCTTATAAGCCCAACTACTATGTGTACTTTTATGTAACTTTTAGGGTTATATGCCTGCCCTTCCAACTAGATTGTGGATTCCTTTGGAGCTTTATTTTCTCTCTAAACCCATCATAGTAACTTACACACGTATGCCTTATTTCCCAAACTAAAATGTTTCCAGTGCAGTAACTATGTCATGTACATCTTCAACATGTTACTTGTGAGTGCTCTCATTTCCTCACCTCTGGAAAAACTTGGCAAGCAGTTCCCTGTTCTTAGCAACTCCAGCTTTGCGTCCACAGTGAGGAAAATTAAAATAAATCCGATCAAACTCCCTGTGGTGCAGTTCAAAGGCATCTGCCAGCTGGGTGCAGTCCACACCAAAACGCACCTCAGTACCTGGCACGAAATACAGACAGGAAGATGTCTCAAGGCCTGAATCCCTCCCTAACGTGAACCATACAAAACAACCCAGGTGGAAACCCACAGGCTGCTTTTAGGTAACCGGACGCTCAAATGCAATTAAAAGCCCCGTCCATTCCACTTCTGGCCCGGCCGGCAGCGGGGCGGGGCTTCGCGGAGGGGTTTGCTTCGCTACCTCGCTCGCGCAGGCGCTGCAGATTCTCCTGGGCCACCGGATCTCCGGCCAAGTCGGCCGGGCGCTGGAGGCAGGTGGCGGTTACACTGGTGCTGTCGTCCAGGGTCTCGCTCAGGGCCGCGGCGAAGGAGAAATTCCCCTCCCCAACCAACAGGAGGCGCCGAGGGGCCATGGCCTTAACGTGCTCCCCTCTCGCGTCCTCCGAGGCGCCAGTTTCTTACGTCACTTCCTGTGGGAGGGGGTGGTCTCTGGCGGGCCACCTCTTTTTGCGTCGCTGATTGATGATGCGCCGGCAGCGTCTAGTGGTGTTGACAAACTGGTACAGCGACTGGGAGGGAGGGGGATGAAATAGCTATGAGCGCAAAAGTTAGACACGGACCACCCTGCCTCCTCATTCCGCACACCCTTAGGAGTGTCGCAATAAATGCCTTTTAGCCCGAGGCTGCCCTGAGCGACTTCGTCACATCAGCATGAGGTCACAAGCAATCACTAGCGCAGAGGGGCAGGCCCGGGGCGAGGCGAGTTCGGAGTGAAAGAAGCGCGGCGGAGCTGAGGTCGAGAGGTTGGGCTGTATCCTGCAGGTTACTGTCAACACAGGGTTTTATAACAGCCTTCCACTCGTCCGAAATGGCTGCTGCTCACTCTCTCTGCTGCTCGGGATTTCTCCAGGTGCTTCTATCTCCTGCCTTTTTTTCATTCAAGAAATACTGAGTGGCTGTTACGTGCCAGACCTTGATGGAGGCTAAACACATGGGTGAATAAGGTGTGGCCTATGATTTCACGGAGCTTGTAGTCTGGCGGAGACTGCACGGCAAAAGAGGCAATTCTGCTACAGCGGGAAGCGATGCTATGAGTGGAGTCACAGAAGGTTTTAGAACCTTACCGAGTTCTGGGATGAAGTGGAAAGATACCCTAAAGGAAGTGAATTTGAGTTGAAAGCTAAGGGGGAGGTGCACCTGACCTGGATAAAGAGAAGTGAAGAGACAGAAGGAACAATATATGCAAAAGCGTGATAGAGAAACATATTAGATGAGTTTGGCTGAAATGTAGTTGGAGGGAGAGTGAGTAGTAGGTGAGACTGAAGCGTTAAGCAGGGGCCAGGTCATACAGAACATCGTAAGCCATTTTAACAGCCTGAATCTTATTCCGAAAACAGTGGCCAGCCACTGAAAGATTTTAAATAGGAAGAGGACACAAAAAGACTTTAGTTTTCACACATTCTTCGTTCCTGTGGAGAAAGGATTGGAGAAGACCAAGGCTGACGGCAAAGACATGAGATAGGCAACTATAGCAATAATGGTGACAAGAACTGGTAGTGATCTAAACTGGAACTTGGCAGTGGGGATGGAAGTGAACTGATTAAAAAATCAGTTAAGACTTAGGTACTGAGTGGATGTAAGGGCTTGAAAGAGGAATCAGTCAAAGATAAGCCTCAGGTTTGGGGCCTAGACAACTGAGTGGATGGTGATGTCTGTCCTGATGGCCCCAAGGACAGTGTCACCTTGGTCTACAGTCTGAATACTAGGCTTGTCAGACTTTGTGGGACCAACTACTCTTTAGTCACCATGCTGTTTGTTGACATCAGTGCATGCATCTATCTTCACAAAGGCACATAGTGTGAGGGCAACTACCTTCAAAGTTGCCGTATTGGCTTTGCCCCTACTTGTGGAAAGGTGGCTCAGTGGATTGTAACTCCAAAATCATGGCTTCCTGGCCATGGTGATCTGGATGACCTACATTCTTTTGTTGCTTGGAGAATGGGAAATGCCGGGTTTGGTGATATCTCTTCCTTCAAAAAAATGGAAGAGCTGAATAAGATTTTCTATCACTGTCCTATGAAATCTTCAAACAACACAAGCCACTCAACATCAAAATGGTCTTCAGCGAAGGTACTGTCTTGCCCCCAAGTCAAGGGACCACAGCCACCTTTTGGCCCAAAATAAAAATGGCTAGGCTTTTGCTTCCTCACAAAAAATTGAAATTCAGACACTAGTCATCTGATATGTGCAAAGCACTGTTGACTGGGAGGGCAGGTGAAGGGAGAGGGTGTGATAATAAGATACAGGTCTTGTCCTCAAGGGATGTACATGGTTTAACCAGCATAGGATATTCAACACAAACTTCCAACACACATTTGAAGAACTCTAAAATACGGTAGAAAGTTAAAGATATGAGGATATCATTGTGTGTGAAACAAAGGAGAGAGAAGTTAACTTGAGGAAAGACATCATGGAAGAAGTGGCATTTGGCCTGAGTCCAGAAAGAAGGAAGCTATCACTTACTGAACATTTGTTGTGTTAATCTAGTTTTCTAACTCTCACTTCTGCCTCTTCTCTTTGACTATACCACTGTTCTCTGTCCTTAAACTCTTACATCTCAAAATCTCCTGAACATTTACCTAGTTTTCCATATATATTGGGATACTGAAGGTTTTCCTCTTTTGAGCGTGCCATTCAATATATATAGCCCTCTGCTACTTTTGATTGAAAAGGTAGGTCAGAGGATTCATGGACCAGGAAGGAAAGAAACAGAACCACAACTAACTTGGGAGGGGAGCACAGATCCTTAGTAAGGTGTGCTTATGTATGCTTGGCTGTAGGTGAGAAAGGGATGAATGCCTTTTCTGTGCCCTAGTTTATGCAACTATCTTTTCTGTTTTTGCCTTTTCCCAGAGACAAGCCCTTGCCTATTTCTTTGCAAACCCACACTATGGCAGCATCATTAATGCAGACGGCCATGCTGAAGTGTGGACAGATTGGAATAGTATGTCCAAGTTTTTCCAGTATGGATGGAGATGTACCACTAATGAGAATACCTATTCAAACCGTACCCTGATGGGCAACTGGAACCAGGAAAGATATGACCTAAGGAATATCGTGCAACCCAAACCTTTGCCTTCCCAGGTAATCTAAGCTTCCCCTGTTTCCTTCTGTTAACAAAAGAAATACCAGTGGCCGTTTTAGAGGTAGGAATCTGATAACTTGCTTGCTGAGATATCTGAGGCTTCTCTGTTCATTGAGGTGGTTGGGAGTGCATAGCAGTCTTCAGCTGGAACTCCTATCATATTTTACTATGAAGTAGAATATTAAAGTAATAAAAGAAGGGGTACTCTTTTTCTCTTGATTCTCTTTGACTTTATTCATCAACATAAATATGTGTCTTCTAACTCAGGCTGTCTACCTGCATTTCATTTATCTGCATCTTGCCCTGGAATCTTTCCTAAACACACAAACACATAAAGGACATGAAAGTTAGTACAATGTAGACTGACAACATATAGACTTCTAGTCGATCCAAAATATAATAGACCCCATTAGGATTCATGTCATTGTGTCCTTTATTTCCCAGTATTAGGTGTAGACTCCTGTATTTTTAATTGATTACCTTTTCTTTCCAGTTTGGACACTACTTTGAAACAACATATGATACAAGCTGTAACAACAAAATGCCACTTTCAACACATAGTAGGTGGACTATTCTTTACAATCCTTATATTCTCAGGACCTAACTCAGTGCCTGGAATGTAGAAGAAACTCTGATGAAAGTAAACTGAGTGAGTGAAGAAGTGAATGACTGAGTGAATGATTTCTCTCTTTTCTCAGTTCTGACAGGACTCCCTAGACTTCCTTCTCTCAGAAATAAGAGTGAAGCCAATTACTAAGGCTCCTCGTTGTTGACTGATTCCACTTGACCTTCCTTCTCTTTTCTCTTCCCTCAGGATTTAAGCGAGAGCCTCACTCGTTCCCAGGACATCAACCTGAGCTGGATCCTCCTGGATACAAATGCACAGAAAAGTCAACTTATATGACTAGCTACTCAGACCCTCAAATTGGGCATGACTCTGCATGTGTGTGGAATCCTAATAACTGCCGACTTAAGGAGCCAGGATTCTAAGAAAGAATAAGAGGCTTCATTTTTCCAGAATAGATTGTAGGAAGGAGCATATTCTAAGCACAACTAAGAATCTAGCTGATGAGAGCACAATTTCACAATCTGAATAAAGAAAGCACGGAGAATATTCCCTACCCCCTTTTTTGTTTGTCCTAATCAAGATTTAAATGTCAAATTTAAGTTCGTTGCATTGGCTCTTAGGTCTACATTACGAGGTAGTAGGAGAAGATTCAAAAGAAGTATTTCAAATCTGCAACCACTTTGCTCTTCCCTGCCTTCCATTCATGGCAGACCTGCAAAATCCAGCATAAGGTTATGTCTTGCTAGATTCTTCCTGAATGTGAGCCTGGCATTCACAGTCAGTGTAACTTCTTTGTGACCTTAGTGAACATCTCCTCATAAGAACTAGAAAAGGAAAAACAACTTTTTAAAAATATTATAGTGAGGGGCGCCTGGGTGGCGCAGTCGGTTAAGCGTCCGACTTCAGCCAGGTCACGATCTCACGGTCCGTGAGTTCGAGCCCCGCATCAGACTCTGGGCTGATGGCTCAGAGCCTGGAGCCTGCTTCTGATTCTGTGTCTCCCTCTCTCTCTGCCCCTCCCCCGTTCATGCTCTGTCTCTCTCTGTCCCAAAAATAAATAAACGTTGAAAAAAAAATTTTTTTTAAAAATAAAAATAAAAATATTATAGTGAATTTAAAACGTGCAAAATTAGACAGAATAGTCTAGTGAACTCCCATCACCCAGTGTGTACAATTTGACCAGTCTTAACTATTCCCATCTACTTTCTCTATTTTTTTTAATTAATTTTGGAGCAGATCTCACAAATTATATCATGTTGTCTGTCAAGATTTCAGTATGTATCTCAAAAAGATAAGGACTGTAGGTGTTTTATTCCTTCACAGAGACCATCACAGAAACCTCCTCATCAAACAAAGCTGAGTTTCTAAGCCTGCAGCAAACAAGAGTAACTTGACAAAATCTTGGAGAGAATTCAAAAGGGGAATGTTGTGAGGGGTAGAGGGTATTTTTAGAGACTTGGGGTTACTTTAAGATGGGTCTTGCAAAGCGGGGAACTGGTAGGGATTGAAATGAGATTTGGGACTAGTCCAGGGTTAGTGTGCACAGGGAGGAAAGAGTCTACATTTTAATACAGTTAAACTTACCAATATTTTACTTTTTTATTTTGTTTCCTGTTTATTATGACAATATAACATATGGGAGAGGTCTCCCATATATTTCCTCCCAAACCTTAATTATTTTATGTTACAGACACAGATATGGAATTTATGCCATATGTGTATATGTATATAGTTAGGTCGTAACTAAGTTTCATTTTTTTTTTATTTTTTTTTTATTTTTTTTCAACGTTTATTTATTTTTGGGACAGAGAGAGACAGAGCACGAACGGGGGAGGGGCAGAGAGAGAGGGAGACACAGAATCGGAAACAGGCTCCAGGCTCTGAGCCGTCAGCCCAGAGCCTGACGCGGGGCTCGAACTCCCGGACCGCGAGATTGTGACCTGGCTGAAGTCGGACGCTTAACCGACTGCGCCACCCAGGCGCCCCTGATTTGATTTTTTTTTTTCTATGTGACTGTCCAGTTTTCCCAGCATTAATTATTGAAAAGACCGTACTTTCCCCACTGCTCTCCTATGCCATTTTTATTGTAAATCAACTGTATATACTTAGACCTCTTTCTGGCTATTACATTCCATTGGCCTGTCATTGCATATGCTAGCTTAGCCACAATGCCTCTCTATCATAATTATGATAATTTTGTAAATCTTAATACCTAATAAATCAGATAACTTCACCTTGTTTTTCTTCAAAAGTGTGTTAGTTATTTTTAACCCTTTGCAGTTCTATACAAACCTTAGGGTCAGCTTGTCAAGTTTCACAAAAAGATACTGGTAAGGTATTGGTGGAAACTGCATTGCATTGTTGAATTTGAGTTATTCTGTCTTATTAATTCTAATAATTCATTGGTATGTGTTCTTGCAATATTAATAATATTTGGCACGTATTTTTGCACATATATGTGTTATATATCCTATTCTGTTTCCTGTGTATCCAGTATGTTTTTTAATTTGTGGTAAAATATATATAACATAAACTTACCATTTTAACTATTTTTAAGTGTACAATTCAATGCCATTATGTATATTCACAGTGTTGTACAATTATCACCGCTGTCTATTTCCAGAACTTTGTCATTATCCCAAACTGAAGCTCTGGACCAATTGAACATTGACTTCTCATTTCTCCCTTCTCCTAGCCCCTGGTAACCATTGTTGTACTCTCTGACCCTGAATTTCCACTTATACGTGGAGTTATGTCACATTTGTCCCTTTGTGTCTGGTTTATTTTGTTTAGTATGTTTTCAGGGTTCATCCATATGATAGCATACCTTCCTTTTAAGACTGAATAATATTCCATTATGTATTTACTACATTTTGCTTCTCCATTCATCCGGTAGGGATACTTGGGCTGTTTTCACCTTTTGCCTATTGTGTGTAATACTGTTATGAACATGGGCGTACAAGTATCTGTTTGAGTCCCCACTTTCAATTCTTTTGGGGATACACCCAGAAGTGGAATTGCTAGCTCATATGGTCATTCCATGTTTAACGATTTGGAAATGCCCAACTGTTTTCCACAGTGCCCGCATTTTTTTTTTTCCAATCCCACTAGCCATGCACAACAATTCTAAGTTTGCCACATCCTTAACAACATGTAGTTTGTTCTTTTGGTTTTTGTTTTTATAATAACCATCCTAGTGGGTGTAGAATGGTCTCTGTTGTGGTTTAGATTTACACTTCCCTAATGGCTAGTGATCTTGAGCATCTTTTCATGTGCATTTAGCTATTTCTTTGGAGAAATGTTTATTCAAGTCCTATGCCGTGCCCATTTTTGAAGTGAGTTGTTGGCCTTTTTGTTGTAGGAGTTCTTTATATACTCTGGATATTAATTCCTAATCAGATATAGGATTTGCAAAAATTTTCTCTACCATTCTGTGGATTGACCTTTCACTCTCTTGATGGTGTCCTTTGATACACAAAAGTTTTCAATTTTGATGAAGTCCAATTTATCTTTTTTTCTTTTGTTGCCTAAACTTTTTGTGTCATATCCAGAAAATCATCACCAAAGTCAATGTTATGAAGTTTTTTCCATGTTTTCTTCTAAGATTCTACAGTTTTCACTCTTATAATTAGATCTTTGATCCTCTTGGAGTTAACTTTTTTTTTTCTGAAAGAGAGAGAGAGAGGAAAGGAGGGGTAGAGCGAGAGAGGGAGAGAGAGAATTCCAAGCAGGCTCCACAGTGTCAGCTAAGAGTCAAATGCCAGGCTGGAACCCATGAACTGTGAGATCATAACCTGAGCTGAATCCAAGAGTCAGACACTTAACCAACTGAGCCACCTAGGTACCCTGAGTTAACTTTTTTGGTTTTTTTTTTTTTTTTTTTTGAGAGAAAAAGACAGAGGTGGGGGGGGTCAGAGAGAGAGGGAGAGAGAATCCCAAACAGGCTCTGCACTATCAGTGCACAGCCCAATATGGTGTTCGATCTCACAAACCATGAGATCATGACCTGAGCCCAAATCAAGAGTCAGATGTTTAATCAACTAGGCCACCCAGGCGCCCGCTGAGTTAACTTTTTCTATGGTAGTAAAAGTCCAACTTCATTCTTTTGCAGGTGGATGTCTAGTTATCTTAGCATCATTGGTTGAAAAGACTGTCTTCTCCTTCCCCTTTAAATGGACGTGGTATCTTTGTCAAAAACCATTTAACCATATACATGACGATTTATGTCTGGCCTCTGTATTCTATTCCATTGGTCTATATATCTATTTTTGTGGTGATACCACAGTGTTTTTGATTACTGTAGTTTGTAATAAATTTTAAAATTGGGAAGTGTGAGTCTTCCAACTTTGTTCTTTTTATTTATTTTTTAATTTTGAAACTGTATTTAAATTTTAAAGAGAGAGCATGAGCAGGGGAGAGAGGCAGAGGGGGAGAGAGAGAATCCCACCGAGCAGGCTTCACACTTAGGATGGAGCCCGACACAGGGCCTGATCCCACGACCCTGGGATCATGGCCTGAGCCAAAATCAAGAATCTGATGGTCAACCAACTGAGCCATCCAGATGCCCTTTGTTCTTTTTAAAGATTATTTTGGCTATCCAGGGTCCCTTGATATTCCATATGAATTTTAGGGTAAATTTATTCACTTCTAAAAAATTATTGAAATTTCTGTAGGGATTGAAGTGAATCTGTAGATCAGTTTATCTAGTATTGATATATTAACAATATTAAGTCTTCTAATCCATGAACATGTAATGTCTTTCCATTTGTCTGTGTCTTTAATTTCATTCAGCAATGTTTTATTGTTTTCAGTGTGCAAGTCTTTTGCCTTTTTTAAGTTTATTCCACAGTATTTATTTTATCCTTTTTTGATGCTATTGTGAATAGAATTGTTTTCTTAATTTCCTTTTTGGATTATTCTTTGCTAGCATATAGTAATGTAGCTGATTTTTGTGTGTTGGTTTTATATCCTGCAACTTTGCTGTATTTGTTTATTAGTTCTAGAGGCTGTGTGTGTGTGTGTGAAATCTTTAGGGTTCTTTACATGTAAGATCATGTCATCTGTAAACAGAGATAATTTTATTTCTTCTTTTCCACTTGCAATGCTTTTCTTTTTCTTGCCTGATTGCTCTGGATAGAACTGCCAATAATATATTGAAAGAAGTGGTGAGAGTGGACCTTCGTGTCTTCATCCTGATGTTAAAGGAGAGACTTTCAGACTTCACCACTGAGTATGATGTTAGCTATGGGTTTTTCATATATGGTCTTTATTTTGTTAATGTAATTTCCTGTTATTCCTAGTTGAGTGGGTTTTTTTTAAGTTTATTTATTTATTTTGAGAGAGACAGAAAGAGTGCGAGCAGGGGTGGGGCAGAGAGAGAGAGAGAGAGAGAGAGACAGAGAGAGAGAGACAGAGAGAGAAAGACAGAGAGAGAGAGAGAGAGAGAGAGAGAGAGAGTCTCAAGCAGGCTCCACACTGCCAACACAGAGCCCTATGCAGGGCTAAGTGTCACGAACTGTGAGATCATGACCTGTGCCAAAATCAAG